ACCTTGCGAGCGTCGGTTAGTTTCCCCCAGAGGATCGGACTCCGGGGTACTAAAGCCCCTGGACCACGACAAGGTCGACGCTCTCCCAGGGGAGGCTCGGTTGACGACGATGATGCCGGTAATCAGAGCGTCGAGCGTCTTGCACTTGAGGTCGTCTTACTCACACGCACACATCTGAAGGAAACTAAAGACACTGTCAGCGAAGTCGTGACGCTCATATCGAAGAAAAGACTCACCGAAACATTAATATATTACCGTGGTCGCACAATCACATGCCTGTCATCGAATCTAGAGGAAATCAGCGACGTAGGATTAAGAAAGAAACGTACCTTGTGAGCGTCTGTTAGCTTCCCTCCGAGGAGGTACTAGAGCCCCTGGACCACGTCAAGGTCGACGCTCTCCCAGGGGTCGCCCGGTTGAAGACGATGATGCCAGTGATCAGAGCGTCGAGCGTCTTGCACTTGAGGTCGCCTTACTCACACTCACACACCTGTAAAAAAAAACTGCACAAGACGCGTTAGAAAAGACATGTGAATCGAAGGGCTGATCCACTCACCTGTTAGTAGCGTCAGTTGGCTTCCCTCAGAGGATCGGACTCTGGGTACTAGAGCCCCTGGACCACGACAAGGTCGACGCTATCCCAGGGGACCGGTATTGAAGCTCTTGAAGCCCGGTGTCGCCTAGCTCTAGCACAGCCTCAGCCTAGCAACCCAGAGACCCAAGCCCAGTGACAGTAGCCCAGAGACCCCAGCACGAGATAGCCTAGAGACCCTCGGTGTCGATGTCGTGCTTGATGTCGGTGTCGGTGTTTGCGTCGATGTCGATGTCGGTGTTGGTGACGGTTGTCGGGGTCGATGTCGGTATCGTGGAAGTCGAAGTCGAAGTCGTGCTTGATGTCGAAGTCGTGCTTGATGTCGCTGTCGCTGGCGGTGTTGATGTCGGTGTCGGTGTCGCCTAGCTCTAGCAAAGCCCCACCCCAGCAACCCAGAGACCCAGCCCAGTGCTGCCAGCCCAGCCCGAGAGACCCTAGACACCCCAGGCCTAGATACACCGGCCACCCCAGCCCAAGATAAGTACCCTAGCACGAGAGACACCCAAGCCCAGAGAAAAAAAGAAACGCACCTGTGCCAACCTGGGCACTCGACGACTTGGCCTGACTTGATAGTGTCGGCGAGGACGAGGTGTTGGTAGTGGTCGAGGGTGGTGGTAGTGGTGGTAGTGGTGGCAGTGGTGGTAGTGGTGGTAGTGGTGGTAGTGGTGGCGGGTGGCGGTGGTGGTCGAGGGTGGCGATGGTGGTCGAGGGTGGCGATGGTGGTCGAGGGTGGCGGGGGTGGCGGGGTGGCGGGGTGGCGGTGGTCGATGGTGGTCGAGGACGAGATGTAAGTGGAGGAGGAGGAGGAGGAAGAGTAAGAGCACGTCAGCATATGGACGGCGTCAAAGAAAGATTATAGGACGCACCTTGATGTGAGTGACTAAGCGGGCTGGGTGGCGGAGCCGATGGTGGCGGATAGGCCTGGGTGACTATGGTGACGAGCGAGACATCAGTGACGGAGGAGGGCCACAGTGAGCGAGGAGCCACACGCACCTAGTGTTGATGACCATGACAGGTGGTCGCCAAATAGGATGGACGTCTAGACCAGAAGCCAAGGTGAGAGAGGAGGAGAAGGAGGAGGAGGAGGAGGAGGAGGAGGAGGAGGAGGAGGAGGAGGAGGAGGAGGAGGAGGAGGAGGAGAGGAGAGCGTATAGTAGAGTAGCGTATAGCAGGAGGAAGAAGAGAAGAGAGTGTATAGTAGGGGAAGAGGAGGGAGGAGGAGGCGGAGGAGAGGAGGGCGAGGGCGAGGGCGGGTGGCGGTAAGGAGGGAGGGCGGAGGGAGGGAAGGGGGAGTTGGGGAAAAACAAGACGATCCAGCCCGCCTTATATGTAAAATCCGAACCAAATCCCGTGCCTCAAACGCGGATCCCCAAACAACCTTCACATACAAGTCAACGAAGAATTGGAAATAACGAGTCTGCAATACGCACTAGCGGGGCGGTGTTGGGGCAGAACCAGACGGCCGCTATCCCCATTTGGTCGACCGTTTGGATGGCTTGCTGTTTGTGTCCATCGTAATGCTATCGATGGCGTTATTTGCTGATGTGTAGATAAGGTCAAAGGACGATGCCGGCATGCGAGCGGGAAGTGGAGGGAACCCGTGTGAGAAATCTCGTACGCCCATATCGCGTCGGCTAGAGCTCGCCTTCTTTTATAGAATATCACAGAATGTGAGCGATGTGGGTGGAGTCAGATATCGAAATTTACGTCTTCTGCACCAATGAAAGGGACGCGTCCACCAGGCTCAGTCGGTCAGTATCGCGCTGTGCTTTCTTCAACCGCGCAACCAAATAGAAAAAGGAAAAGGGAAATCAAAATGCCCTATCCTCACTGGAGGCAGCGCATCGGATAAGACGGACGGGATCCGCGCGAGGAACCCAGGATACAGTGCGAGGGGACAATGGGACGTCCTAGAAAGGTGAACAACAACCGTTCGATAGTCGGATGATTGGTCCGCAGTCCGCCCAGGCTCCATTCTACACGTGCGGAAAACGTGTAGAAGCGCTTCTAAATTCAAATTCAGGAGGGTTTCTAGGGGGATCCTGACTAAGCCATCGAGATGAACGACTTGACGAAGGCGGGTACGGCCGGGATCGGATTCAGATCGTCGGCAAATTATGAGAGCTCGACTTTTCTGTTGTTCGTACCAGCTGTGGCGGGGGTGTGTACTGTGGCCCGGCGTCGCCTGCGCATTGCGGAGACTGAGACGGTTGAGACAGAGGAGACAATGCAGAGAGGAGGAAGAGGAGGAGGAGGAGGGAGGGGGGTTCGGGGAATGAAGTTGAACGCTCACACATCCAGGCCTTTTATACGTTAGTCTATCAAGGGCAAAGCGAAGCAAGTCAAAGCGAAACCAGGCCGCATGCGCCAACTGATAAAGAATTCGGTCAAAGCAAGCAAGGGGCCACAAAGCTAAGGCCACGGATTGCTGTTCATGCCTATCAAATGTCACATACAGCGCAGTTGAACGCTCAAGTCGTCATTGAGCTTTGACCCTCACGCAGCGGAGTAGTCGTTATTGCGCTGTGCTCCACACGGTGTATAACATGAGGTGGCGACAACAGGGGGTAGTACGGGCTGGGCGCAATGGAAGGACTTACCAGAGTCTCACACACCATTCTCCGTTAATCCCTAGCCTACACACTGCTTGTCTCGTCGCCAACAATTCTCGGGAGAGTCGTATGTGAGGATAATATAATTGAGTCATATGCGACAGTAAAGGGATCCGAACCTAAATTAAACGAGCAAGTGAGCAAGGGCATGTTGGCAAGTAATGCAGTAAAATGGGATGAGAGAGCGACGAGCAAGAACGATCCAGATATCATTTCAGCTAAAACCGAGATTCAAGAAACGTAGTCCAGTGTCCTTTTCGAACCCCACCCAATACCGATAGCCCACCAACGCGACAAACGAACCAAAAACCCAACCCTCTGTTCCGAACCCAAGAATTACAGCAAACGATCGAACCTCATCCCATTGAGACCCCTATAGTATACTTCAAGTGTGTAAATCGAAAGAATCCGCTGAAGAGAAGACCCCAAAAATTTCAACTACGCATTATATACTCAACAATGGGGAGTAGCCAGGCAAGTCCAGAATCCAATGTCCAAAGCGGTTCCATATCACAACAACAGCGTCGACAACAGTGGGCGCGCGGGCCTTTTGCATCCCGCCCCCGAGCTTCTAGGTATACGTGTAGGGGGTTGATAGAGAGAGGTTGATGGTGGTGTGGCGGTGGCGGCAGTGGCAGGGAAGGTAGCGAGTGAGTGGGAGAGAGGAAGTGAGAGGGAGTGAGTGGGAGAGAGGAAGTGAGAGGGAGTGAGTGAGAGGGAGTGAGTGAGAGGGAGTGAGTGAGAGTGAGTGAGCAAGGAGGAGTAAGTGAAGGGTGCAGGATAATGAGGGAGTCCAAACATGTGCATGAATGAATGAAACGATAAGGTAGCGGTAATGCAAAGCACCAGAGATGAGGGAAAACAAGAACAAGAGCCAGTGCAGGAAGATAAGCAATACAAAAAGAGACGGACACAAACACAGCGAACGGGTCGCAACTCATCCACGACTCGGATAGACCTTATTATTGTCGTCCATACGCTCCTCTACCTGCGAAATTCGAGGATTCCGACTCCGGCACGTCCGACGTCAGCGTCGAAAACGTTCCCTGTCTCTGCGGATTAGGTCTATGTGTCGGTGCCTCCCTATTCCCATACATCGGTGCGGCCTGCGGTGGATATCCCATCTGCGGTGACGGTGACAGATATCGCTGCGGAGGTTGTTGCTGCTGCTGTGGCAAATACTGTTGTGGCGGGTACTGTTGTTGTGGCTCGTACTGATACGCGGGGAGACTCGAAGTACTGTTCGCAGGATAACCCAGCCCAGGAGCTCTCGGTAGGAGAGGCTGTTGATCGTCAAGTCGCGCGAGCTCGATCTCCGACGCAGACCCCATCGGCCCATGTTGCATGTACTGATTGTATCCTGGTACACGAGGAAGGGAAGGAGCGGGTGAGGCCGAGCGTTCGTTGGCGTAGAAGCCGTGGACTGATTTCGCAGGGTAGAGGGAGGCCCCATCCGAGAACGCGGTGACACCTGAACGAGCGTCCCAATCCAGTTCTCCACGGTCGCGTTGGTATTGAGCGGGATCGTACTCCAAGTCGTGCTATAATCGGCAAGCACATTAATCTCCTCCGATCCATGCAAATGTAGTGGAACGAGTGTGGATAAAGAACGAACCTGGTTGATAGCGGCAATAGTGAGACCACCAGGAAGAACCTGGGCATCCATAGCCTGTCCACCATACTCGTCCAACTTCGTCGTCTTGTTATTCAGCCTGCCCTTATACACCTCAGCCAACAGCGGCATCAACTTCGCATGCAACATCGGCGTGAAGAGGTCAGCGTGCAACGCAGGGTGACCGAACCTCTTCTCCAAACGGTTGCCCTTGCTATCGGCGCGTGCGGAATGGACCTTGGCTTCGAGAAGTTCTTGTTCGGTAGGGACGTAGTACCGGAAACGCTTGACGAAGACGCGGTCGATGTAGATTTTGAACAGTAGGACGATGGCGAACGGAGGGATCGTCGCGATCCATGCGAAAGATCTCCAACCGTACTGGAGGCCGATAGCTGGTAATACGCGACAATATTGAGCATTCAAACCAAGGGGAAGATGAGAATATGGCGAACACTTACTCAAGACCATCAGAGCGTGCATCAGCATGAGCGATACGAGCATACGATTGACTACAGCATTCCACATCCGCTACGATCGAATCATGCAGAGTAAGCCAGACATGTACGAATCGCAAGGCCCAGAAAAAGATAACTACTTACGCCACCAGTCTCGACTTTGGAGACGAAGACGAACATAAGCTGGTATTTGTATACCCAGGAGCTAATCCACATGACGACCGCACAAGCCACGGGGACGAGCGGTGCGAGCGGTGCAAAGACCAGACCGATGGCGCCCATGAACAACTTTGTATGGCAAGGGCCGTCAATAAGGCGTATATAGCACAAGCAAGGAAGGAGCTCACAATGTTGGAGCTGATGACACACGAGAGTAAGACGCGCGTTCAAGAGGAGGGTAAAGGGCAACTTACTAGTAGATAGAGTATCGGAAGTTTGGCGGTTTAGTCCATTCCCGGATATCACGAGGTGTACGACCAAAAACACTGTACGATGGTCAGTTCGTGGTGTACAACTTGATCAGTGCATAAACGTACTGGGTCTTGAATGAGATCCAAACAAGGTTGAGGATTTGAGCAAGATCGAACACAGCCAAGAGACCACGCAGACTATGGACAGGTGCAGGAAGTAAAACCTATCAATACAATGATACAGTTGAGCGTGAGGGAGAGCGCACGGGAAGAAGGTGAGCCAGTACGACGACTGATCGATGTAGGTCGAGTTGATTGTGGCCGGTAACGCTGACGGGGGCGCGTTAGCATTGCGTAGGCGGCGAGAAAAATGCTGCATGAGAGCGTACTGTCGAGATTATTAATAATGTCCTGGAAACTCTTGTGCTTGCCGATCTGCACCACGATCTGCTTGACGGAGTCTATACGCAGCGCGGCAACGCATATCAGGAAAAGTGTACACCAGAAAAAGATACCAGTGCTATGACGTACTGAATATGACTCCGATAAGCGTGAAGACCATCAACTGAGAGATGATCAAGAACGCAAAGTATCTCGCCAGCACCGCTCGATCCAGCCTCGAACTCGTTGAGACACCCATGTACTTCGACAGCCGCCTCATGATGATCGGCAAGACGAACCCAAAGAGGGCAGAAACGACGGATGGCAAGACACCAGAGATGACGTTGAAAGACTTGGGCGAGGCGGTCTGCCACTCGTCGAGGAAGGTGACGTAGGCCGTAAGAGAAGACAAGTTGGCCAAAAGAGAGATGATGAACAGAGGCACTGTGTTAATGAAGCAGACGAGGCACAGCCAGATCCAACCCATTGTCTGTTTCCTGACGATTTCGGAGGGAGATTTATTCAAGTTATCCCATATCTGTGGTACTTCTATGAGTCTACCGAAAAGACGGATAGTAAGGGTCTATACTGACTATGTCCTTGGGATTAGGTGCCAACTCGATGTAGGTGCCTTTTGGGTGTTTCTTCTCCAGCATTTGAGCAACGATATGGGCATAGGGAACAGCAGCCATCGATGCGAAGCCGTAGTTCTCCGGCTTGCGGTTCTCAATTTGGGCACGGGCTTCCTCGACAGCCCGTTCCGTTCGTTGAAGCTTTGCACTATGCGTTCGTGAGCTACGAGAGCATCATCTTGAGCGGAAAACAGCGACCCACGTATAATAGTCGATGGCGTCCTCCTTGCGACCGCCCATTCCCATGAAGCCGCCATGCCGAATCATAGGCCGCTCCTTCGCCAGTTTCCCACCCTTCAGATACCTAACCAGAATCTGCTCGAGTTCACGAACAGTCTGATTGTGGAATTCGATCAGCTCCGGTAGACGTCCGACGCGACGTCCGATATGGACGGAGGTGGTTGGGTAAGGAACCTGTACACTCTCGAAGATAGCTCGAATGCCCTCGTCTGACTGTAACTTTTTCGGCACTTTGGTGATAGCCAACGTCCGTGCGTAGAACGACTGCACGTACTCCGGTGATCGATACCACTGTCGCCGGAGTCGGACCATCTCTCGCCAATTATACCAGATCCCTCCGCAGACGATCAGTGTTATGATGTAAACCATTCCAACATGCACGAAGAGGAAGTTTCCGCCGACGTCCCGAATGGTCATCATGGAGAGAGCATCCCTGTCGTCCGCAGCCACGTTCTTGAGGTTATAGACGATGTTGACAGGAAGGATGACAGCACAGACTGCGATGGCGATTAACGAGAACATGTATCGCATCATCCGGAGAAAACGAAGGAATGTGGCGGCATCAAGACCGATTTTGTCGACAAGTTCTGGTTCCTTTGTCCGTACTACAGGAGGGATCCAACCGAAAATGGAGTCGGACATTCGTGGGGGTTCCTTGTCGCCGACATGGTACTTGACTTTGGGTTCATAGATGATCTGTGGTATCGTGAAATGAATATTACTCCTAGGGTAAGAGGTTGGCTGAACGGACCTTGTTGTTTGGGCGTAAGATATTGAAGGCAATGATAGTGCCGAGCTGAACATAAAGCAGCGCATCATCAATACCATGCGGAATTCATACGCCGCTCCAGGACAACAGACGCTGGCCACGTTGACAACGTTCTCAAGCAGCTCAAAAAATTAAGCAACGATCGAGAGTGACTGTCGACTGGTATCCATATCCGAAAAGACTGAACAGTCTCCTGACGTAGTAAGGATGGCCCATGCAATCGAAGTGCACTCACCGATACGGCAGACATAATTCCGACCTGAGAGGCCACGGCCGCGGGCGCCAGCGTCCGCTGTTGTGAGTTTGTGAGTACGTCGGTAAGGTTCGACATTGTTCAGAGAACGTTCAAGAAAAGGGGGTGGGGCCGGTGGACGTCCAGGAATGATATGGGTCGTCGCGACTGAGTGTAATTGTCTCTTGAATAAAATTAAAAGACTGGGTGTTGCGACTATGGGTGCCGAGCGAAAGAGTCGACAGTGGGTTACGATAATTTGGGTAGGAGCCAGCCGGAAAGAAAGATAGACCGGCGAAAGAAGGTGGACGTCGGTGCAGAGGAGAAGGAGATGGATGCGGACGGCAAGTCGCAGCTATTTCGTTTCTCCCACGGGGCGCTACAATGGGTCGCTTACATAACATTCGCCCCTTGCGTCAACAAAGGCGGTTCATCCCCTGAGCACCGTTCTCTTTCTTGCTCCTCACCGAACAATAGTTTGTGCTGCGTGTAGACTGAGAATCCAGTCCTTGTGCTGCTGCGCTTTGGCGACTTATTTTCTGAGGTCTCGAAATGGCTCCTGCTACTCTTACTGAAGACTGCTGACTACTGAGCCCCGAGAGGACTTCGTATGTACGCGCGATGGGAACCATCGCCTATTCTTACCTGCCTTGAGGTACATCAACATCTCACACAATAAAAAATGTCTTGCCATCAGCCAATACTGGACAACTTTCACGCTTGCTAGACCCACTCACTGCTTGCCCACGCTTGCTTGCTCCATGCACAGCCATACGGAACTGAGTAAATACGCGCACCTACGACATAGAGTCAGCACCCCAGCAATGCTATAATATGGCTCTGAAGCCCTTCGTGGTGTCGTACTGCACGCGCTCGCTCAAACGTTGGTCTGATTCCGATCGATTGTCGGATATAGTTTGGACACTTCCCAAGAATAGTGTTCGGCCTGAACGCGAGTTGTGCGTGTATAATCGTTTCCATGCCTCCCGATGCTTTATTGATCAACTGCTTCGTTGTTCTTTTCTGATACCAGACATGGTGCATGATACTGCATGTTCTGGATATTCTTGGACCACAGGGGACAACGCACTCGGCTCTCAACTGGCACAACATCGTACGAGCCTCTATTTCTACACAGGTCAGAATTATTGTTTGCTCTGATACCTCATTCGTACTTCCACAAGGTTACTCGTGCGAGAAACTCCCAGCACCCATCTTCGGCTCATGGATATTTTCCCGGTGCTCCTACTTATCTTTCATTATCCCGACGAGACTAAGCTTTACGCACACCCATTTGCGAGGCCCTTGAATTCTGCATGCATTCACATTGTCACTCATCCGCCGACCGCAGCCTCTGGCTTGGCACACGAGCCTCGTCGTTTTACAACTCATCTCTCCCGATCCCCGGTTGAGAGTAGATTTAATACCCGTAAAAAGCAATCGCAGACACGGGAACCTGACCGTACTGGCCGTCCGAGTCTGTGTCTGTATTTATGCAGGTTTGTCATGCTTTCGATAACCCCGCGTCAGGACCCCTGGCAATAGAGGGCGAGGTCGTCCACCGACCCAGACAATTTTGGGCCAGTTGGTGGTGGAAGGTCGTCCGTAGGACGGACAGATTGTTTGGCACTTTTGGGGGGTAGGGCGTTCGCCATTCCGAACAAAAACCGCTGGAGGCAGCCGGCTCTTAAATTGGTGGGTGGCGTCAGCTCCAGTTTAGGTAGCGACGCCCTGGTTATTCACTGTGTGCGCCTCTCTGGGGTCTCTGACGGTCAGAAGTGCAGTCTGGGCCACATAAAGGGCAAAATAAGCCTCACGATGTGCTGAAGAAGCAAGGCTGGAGCAGGCCGGTTATTGTTGTTGCTTCCTTTTTCTTTTTGGAGGACATCCGCGAGATCCGGACAAAAACTGGGGATTTGGCCTACCTACGTCTAGATAAATTTTGGCCGTTTTCTCGAGTGCCGCGGACGATCTCGACCTCTATTGCCAGGGGTCCTCCCACGTCGCCGAGAGATGAAGCCCACCTCGGAAAACTCGTGCAGAACGCTGTGATTAGCATCAGTTGCGTCCATTTACTCATTAACCTTGACTTTCCCATCCATTGGTCTCTGCTTCAGGGAGGAGGCCGACCGAAATTAGCTGCGGACGGCATCATCCCACAAATGTTGATACCTTGACAACTTCATGATCAATCCGATGGACATGGGTCGCGGGGCATTTATCTGGAGGTGAGCCAGGGAGCTGTCAAGACGCATGGATACAAATGTTCACCCAAATCATTGCCCGTCGCAACTGCTCCATATATTCTGTGCAACGGCACTGTTGACTTTGTGTGACTTTTTGTACACCTCGACAGAGCCCCAACCGACGAAGTAGGCTTTGTGTGAGTAGCGATGCTCTGGGTTTCATAAGGCCGAGGTACGGACCGCCATCCTCTCCGCCACTTGAAATATCTGATTTGTTCCGAACATCTGACTGATTTCCGGCGACTCTCTTAGACTAGGGTGGGAAGAGCGGTTGTTGTGGCGTAAGGACAATTCACTGCCTCAGATCCGGTGCCACACTAAGCAAGATCAGTCCAGCAGGGTTTTCCTTTGTGGCCCTGCCATTCATTCCCCGCTGCTGTCCTCTGCTCTTTGATGACCACTGTTTTGACGACACTGCCAACAGCGATCTGTCCTATTCTTTCTATCATTGACGAACTTCATACAGAAAAAACATGGCCTGCCTCGTGAAGACTGTTCGATCGCTGGACCATGCCTATGGCTGTTCGGGCCCGTTCTTGACATGCATTAGCACCTGAGTCCCTGCATATACCTGAATATAGATCAAGATGACCCATTTTTACAGCCCGTGGCCCCAACTAAATGTTGTGGCAAGGCCATTCGTGATAATGCGGGTAGATGCCTTGTCCCGCTGTTAATCCACTAGCAGCGCGTCAGAGTCGGGCTGGACAATGAATAACTACAGTTCGGACCAATTCTAACCCATTTTTGGTGCATAAGAGGTCGACCGTACGAGCCTAGCCCTAGGCTGTCCATCAGCCCCCTACATCGTGTGCAGCAGACGCACGAAAGTAGCAACCCGCGAACCACTTCACTCAGACCCCGATTGGCAAGATATACTTAGACATACCTCATTCCGTCGTCCGAGGGATGGTGGACTCGCGCTTGAAGTTGCTGTCCACCATGCGCGCCTGTTGACAATACCTATTTAACACCTTCCCGTTTTGCCTGGATCTATTGACAACCCTCGCCAGTTCTCTGCCATTGTATGTTCTTCCTCTCGTTCATATTCACCTCGACTTGGTGGGCCTTCTTGGCCCAACCCACTGCAGCTTACACATGGGCATTCGACAACTCTCCGACCCAGTGCGGCCCTCTGGCCGTGTCTATCCTCGACGACACGGGTGGCAACCCACCCTATAATCTTCTCATCGTCCCGCATGGCCCCACCCCATTGGCCATAGAGCCTAGAACAGTCCAAACTCTCACATTCAACACAAACACAGAGCTGAACTTCACCCTGAAATATCCAGCCAGGTCTCAGCTCGTAGCAGTGGTGAGTGTCCAACAATTTGTGCACATCAAAAGCCTTGACCAAAGATGATGGGTCAGATGAGTGACCAGAGCGGGTTTGCGTCAGGAGGAACAAGCGCGGCATGGACTGTCGAGGAACCTGCTCCGGGGATCCCGCTATGTTTCGATCAGAGCCGCAATGAAAGTCAACCCTGGGACTTTGATATTTCTCCTCAGTCCGCCGACTCGTCTATTCTCATCAGTTGCGGATCGTACACTCTCGAATGGAACACAGGGGATGGAGTGGTCACGGGGTGTGCACTTTCCTTGTCCGTTGGTATACAAAGTGGCACTCTGAACCGACCCTTTCATTGCTCATAGCACTCCGAACTTCGTCGGAATAATACCCTCCGGCGAATCCTTCAACATTAGCGGTACACCCCACAACGGCCCACCACAAGGGCTAGACTGGATAGTCCCACTCAACCCAGGGACGGACTTCATACTCGTCGCGGGAGATCAAAGCGCCACAGGCTCTGGTGGCACCGTGAACTACGGCATCGAAGCAGCCTCTAGCCCTCCTAGCACTGCCTGCCCCGCGCAGTTATTCTCAACAACATCAGGTACACCAGCTGGGGGCCCTCCGACGAGTAGTGTCTCTTTGTCTACAGGAAGCATCCCGAAGAGCACTGCCACATCGTCTATACCTCCGGAGAGGTATGTCTCCAGTGCCTGTTCGGTGATGTTGAGTCTTGGAATAACCATTTTATGCTATTGGCAGCACGGATCACAAGCCAAATATAGGAGCCATTGCTGGTAGGCCCAACTTTTGGTCGTCACTAATACAGTGCTAAAGTCTAGATTATTTATTAGGTGGTGCCGCTGGCGGTGGAGTTGCAATATCTATAGCCTTTCTTTCTCTCATTCTCTGTCTGCGACGGCATCGCAAACGCCGTGAACAGATCGACTTGGACGGGCCACCGGTCTTCATCACCAACGAATTGGAAGTACCACCGGTTACATCTGTCAGACCTACGTCGTTCAACCCGTCGATGCTCTATGCGAACCCAGAGATGACCTACTTGGAGCGACCAGAGTCAGAGGCACAAGCTAGCTCTTCTTCATCTGCGCCACCCGCTGTGAACAACACCAAGCGAAAGCTACCCGTACAGTCTCCCAGAACGTCTTCTGGGTCGAGGACAGAGATCATCATTCGACACGTAGATTCTGGGAGGGTAGAGATGCCGGAGGTAGCGGAACGACCAGCAACTATCGAACTGCCTCCATTATACGATGCGTCACTCAAAGACTAGTATCCTTATTATGTGTCTGCGAAGGATATACTTTCATAACGACTTTATAGGTTTGTGACGACGAATTGTTTGGAATCTGGATGCTATATATATGGGACTACATATTTCTATCGATACGGGTTCATGGGCTTTCCGACGACCAATATACCTAGCTTCTTCTGGCGGCGAGTGGCACAATCCCACGTTCATCGTTCTTGTTTAGGATCATCGCATCGAGCAATTAACGGCACATCTTTCGTCTGTACCACGTCTACTTTCCAACCCTGTTGTGTAGCCCTCTGGCCTTGAGAGCGGCGCCATAGTTCGCCTGGGGCGTCTGATGGTACAACCATACTCATGCGACCCTCTTGATATATTTTGTTTCGACATCCTTTACTTAAATCAAGCCTGAGACAGCCCAGCGTGTTCCCTCAAAACTGCATTTAGCCCCTCTCGCTTCTCGCACTCCTCGAACCTAAAACTTCTCGCCATCTCCTCCAATCGCGCTTCGTCCATTCCTCTGAAATACTCCGCCCACTCCTTGACAAGAAACTCTGCGACCAGCATCGTCCGAGCAAGCCTGTGCACCCGTCCCTCGAGGTTCCAAGTCGGCCACGGATACAAACGAAGATCTTCGTTCGGTACCGCCTCCTTGATCATGTCTATGATGGGCTGGTAGATGTGCTTGATACCTGATTCATCTGCGCCCCACGCGTCTACCGCAAGACGTTGTTTTCGATCGAGGAAAGGCTTGAAGTGCCGCATATATGGCGTTGACGGAGAGACGTAGACCATGCCCTGGGAGATGACGGGTTAGGTTCGAATACTCTGAGATTATGAAGCGCTGGAAGTATAAGGTCCCAGTGAGATGTACCTGGAAACCGATGTCTTTGTAGAGCCAGATGCTCCAAGAGAGTTTATCCTAAAGACAGAGGTAAACACACGATTCAACTCCAAGGAGCCCTATGTCTAACGCACCTTCTGATATAGATCGAGCTGATCCTTCAGCACCATATACCTCCTCTCATTGATCGCCTCCGTCTCGCCACCCTCATACTCCTTCCTTGCATACACAGGTCCCCACTCCCCGTTCCAAACACACAGCCCCCTCTCATCCATCCACTCCCTCTTCCTCTTGTAACCCCTCCTCATCTTCTCCCTCTGCTCCTCATCGCCCACGTAAACACCACCCTTCGGAAACCCAAACACCGAATAATCATGTATCGCATACGCTACATTCTCTCCCCACCTCTCCCTCACATCCTTCGGAAACTTCCCAAAATCCGTCGCATATGTATTGCCATCCAAAAACAGTATATGCCTTTCGTCCACGTTCCGAATCGCCTCAATCGCACGATCATAAAACCCCAAGAGCCTCGCAAACTCGGGATGCGGATCCGCCGGTTCGTTCAATAAGTTATACCCCGCCACCCACGGCTCGTCCTTATACCTCTCCGCGATGCGCTCCCACAACCACACGGCGCTGTCCATGAAATGTTTGTGTTTCCAGAAATTGGCGATGTGGACGCCGGAATCGCAGTGCCAGCCGCCGTTCTGGCCGCCTGGGACGGCGTGGAGGTCGATTATGGTGTAGATGCCTTGGGCAGCGCAGAGGGAGATGACGCGGTCGAGATGGGTGAAGGCGTTGGGGAGGAGGACGCGTGGGTTGAGAGGCGATTCGAAGTGCCGGTAGTTGATGGCTATGCGGATGCAGTTGAGGGAGAGGGATCGGAAGAATGCGGCGTCGGAAGATGTGAAAAAGTTTTCGAGGAACTATATGTGGTTGGATGAAAGTGGAAATTGGTACACGGAGTCCACGATGAGACGAGGGTCTTGGTGGATTGATAATTGGCGTACTTACCTTGTCGAAGAAGAACGCAGCCTTCTGTTCGCCCAGTACTTCTGCCAGAGCCTCTCGGATCTGAAACTCACAGCCAGGAAATCCTTTACGAGCACAACGCACGGTCCGTTCCCATCAGCCTCTATTCATGTGAACACCATTATGCCTGCAGCCCAACGTACCTGTAATGAAGTTTTCCATGCTGCCGAGGGCCTGCGATGAGCGATCATATATTTGCAAGAGAAAGCAGGTCATGCCAATGTGCAGTCGTACCACATCCATCCACCCAATCCTGCTCCTCTAAGGACGACTTCAACGCCCTGCGCATCGACGATCTTGGTCCCAGAGACTCTGAGGAAAGACATGGTGCTGGTCGATGTTGAAGATTCCTTGGACATTTATTGGACACTGAGCCCCTATTTATAGCTCCGAGGAAAGAGCGACGGTCGAAAGGGCGGTCCGGGACAGTGCAGAACAGTACACATGACAAGCAATGGGCTCTCCGCAGGAGATAAAATAAGCAGAGAAAGCAAATATACCTCGGATGTCATATTTTGGCGGATGGCACAAGGTCAGTCGGTCGACAGAGCCTCCAGCAGAGATACAGATATAGTAGACCGATTTCGCCTTCGTGACCAAGGTACGGCAAAGCAGAACAAGCGAGGATGATCTTGTTTTGGATTGCAAAGAGTATCATCACCGTACAGCAGCAAACCGAGACCGTGCTTTCTCGTTACGACGTACATCCTCGTCTTTGAGTTTTACGGTCAAAGCCACCGAGAGCTCTGATGCGTACTTCTCCCCGGTCTACAACCGAGGAACAGTATGAGCAACCACGAAAGAAGATAGGGAGTATAGGACGGATGGGGCGCACATTGATCAAACTCTTCATCAATTCGAGGTTGACTTCTCCTGATCCTAATAACCGCATCCCTTGCAGGTTTGCACCAGAGTATATGAGCAAAAGTCGGAAAGGGGTGGCCGCCTCTTCTTGCGATGTTGCATCGAGGTAGTGTATTGGTGGAAGCTAAGGCCCGCTTATGTTAGTTCTTGTCCTCAAACTTTTACGGAAACGGTGAACGAGAGTGCGCACCAGATTCAGCGTGACGCAGACCGGCCACTTCTCCCTACCGTTCAACACCTCGCCCTCGTCCCAATAGTCTTCTAGTTCGAAATCTGTTGCAGCCGCCACCTGTCTCGTATCAAACCCGCTTTTGTTGTCTTCATCCACATCCATATCTGCCCTTCCCCCGCCGAATTGAGCACCGCCCTTGGCATTCGCGCGATACTCGATGCTCCGTGTCCGAGGGACCTTCGTGTCCCATAGAGCCGCACGGGCGGCCATGAATAACGCATCATATACATTCCCAGAGTCGGAGAGGACGACGAGATCGAGTGAAAGGAGCCATGCTTTCTTTCCTTTGATGATCCCGAGAGTTGAGGGATGGAGGGACGGATGTGAGAGGGTTTGATGCAGGAGTGTGGTGTAGTCGTATTGCAGATCATCCAATGCACCAGTCGAAAGGTGGGGATATGCGGATGGTGAGCTATCTTTCGAATGACACAAATCATGAGTATCATAGTGCTTCCATCTTCGAGCATCCACAAAAGCCTATCCTAGAACCAAGAAATATAGGGATACGCAACGCACCAAGACACAGAGCACACTATCCGCCCGTCTGTTTTTCCACTGACATTCTCCACCTCAAGCTTCACGGCGCCCAGAACCTCGGTCCCCCCTCCACTACTACTATTCTTCCCGATGTTAACGCGCACGCTGCCATTCGCGAGGGGCGCGACGCCTGTTTCGATTGCGATGGAACGGTAGTCGTATAGGGGACGTCCGTCGGCACGACTGGGGCTCGGTGATTGCAGAGAAGTCTGGATATACGTCTTCTCTGATTTTGATAAAGGCATGGCCGTTAAACACGACCTGTCGTCTTTGTTGAAGATGAAGGAAAGGAAGTGAGTGTGGGTGTGGCCCAAGATGGAAGAGAATATTTGGCGAATATCAAAGCGCGCCAATGCGTCGGTCCTGGGTGGCACCGAGTTGTCCGTAACCTGCCTTGTGGCGGGAGTCGATCGTTTCTGAGTGCATACAACGTCCTTCAAGATGCATCGATGAAGGGAGAGCCGTCTTCGCATGGCTTTGGTCAGGGTATAACTGTGCTCCTAAGCCTGTTTTTTTTTTGCTGCTAGTATTCTACGGCCTTTGGCCCAAGGAACCAGTGAGCAGGCCGGATGAGTCGTATCCCCATCTGTATCTTCTAGGGATAGTTGTGAGGCCTTGGTGAGGCCTATCGTTGCAGTTGACGATTCTGGTGAGCCTTTCATTTATTCATGCTTTGAGTGACTTATCATCAGACTTTTCTGAGCAACAGTACCCATCATCATTGAGGCTTGTGCCTGGAACTACCCAACCTCGATGTCCTACAGTCGTAACACCCTAATTAGGTCCCCTATACAACACGCCATACTATGAACGCCATGCTGCTCGTCATTGTTCAGATCGCATCCGAGTCCAATGAAGCCTCGATGAATGCACGCGTAAAACAGCCTCTTTTAGTATGTTCTCTTTCCCATTACTTGACAACAATCCATCGAAAAATCAAACTACAACATCAGCACGTTGCGATCCACTTGCAGGTGGATCGAGCAGAATTTTATCCGCTGTCTACATGCAGTATATCGTCAGCCCATCTCAGAAGTTGCTGACAATATGGCGATCCGCAATTTACCTGCAAACAACCCACAGCCCACTCAGTTGCACATGGTGCTGATGGTCCCCAAGACGAAGTTTATTTTTATAGTTCCAGTAGTGATTTTAGTGAATCTCACTTTACAGTCGAAGTTAATTGTTTCCTTAGAGCAGCCTCTGGAGAGTGGATCAACCAGCCTCCTCCGAAATTAGCCTTCTCGGAAGGCCTCGGGGATGACAGGTGCTAAAGCCATCGAGCGCGTATTGCTATGGCAACAGAGCGGGCGACGATGGGAAAGGCTCACATCTTTTCATTTTCGTCATTTCCCAGTCTGCTTTAGGCTTGTCTTGGCGGCTTTCTCGTGCCTCGGCCGGACATTGCCTAGGCCTCGTGAAGTCTTTTCCCAACGCACTCTGCAGGCAATTGTGCTCCCTTTCATCGTCTTCTTCCATTCCCTTATGCCCAACTGCTGATTCGCGGCTCCTCTGAACCACAGAGCCTGCCTTCACCCCAACCGTCTCTCTCTTACGCAGCCGGTCCAAGCGCTCTTCACTTTCGTTTTCCGACCAATATGAACAACTATCCAACTCGCCGGCCTGGCAACACCTCCAATGCGTCCCCTGCCCAACCCATCAATCGCGACTCCAATGCGCTCAGGGCGTCTGTGCTCGATGCGGCCTTGCAGCTCGGCTTTGGCACCAACAGGAGCATTGCGAACATGATATTCGACGTCGTAGATGAGGACGACGAAGAGGTGCGTTATGTCCTTTCCTACTCACTCATCTTTCGTTTCACCGCACACCATTCGATTTATATTTTATTCTTCCACCTCCATATTCTTGTTCGGTTTACTAACTGCTCTTGTACGGCAGATCGCCTCACCTGGTCTGACTTCTGCCTCGACGGCTACCTCAGACGAAGCTACGTTGTCTCCTTTTCCCATACAACCCGATTTGCCCGGCCAGTCCCTCGATCCCAAATTCCTCGCACCATCATCAAACACCGTCTCTGATGAACAGTTACGACTTCGTTCCGCTCCGAGTCCCACTCCATCTACTGTTCGTTCGAATAATAAACTCAAGAAGTCACGGAAGGATGGATATGAAAGCGCGAGCGAGGCTAAAGAGAGGAAGAAGTTGGAGAAGGAAGAGAAGAGGTTGGAGAAGGAAGAAAAAAAGAGGGCGAAGAAGGCGAAGAAGAATGCGGGTGATGAAACGGAGTACGAGACGGACGGTGGGTACATGTCGGAGGCTGCGGCGGGGAGGAAGAAAAGCCCCAAGAAGAAATCGAAGAAGGCGAGTGATGATGCACACGCTCCCGCGGGCGATGACTACGACACGGACGGAGGCTACATGTCCTCATCAAGTCGCCCCAAGCCATTCCGCTCAAAGTCGTCCATCGGCAAAAAATCAATGGAGTCTGGCGACGCTTCTGATGGCGGGTATGTTTCCGACAAGAAGAAGCGCTCACTGTTCCGACTTGGTTCCTCGAAAGGGTCAAAGAAGGGATCTACACCGGAGGCTGCTGAGGCGCCCCCGCCCGTGCCTATGATCCCGCTTCCCATCGCTGAACGATTTGCCTTGACTCTTGATATGCCTGATTTCAGCTCCAGGAGCAACACTCCCGTCCCGCCCTCTGTCTCTTCGCGTTTCGGCAGCTTCGACACGTTCACTAGCGAGGAGAGCCGTGGTGGCACTTCATTCTCTCCCACCAGTACTGACCTCCATTCTCCGATTCCTCCGGTGTCAGAAGAATCCACTCTTCCATGGGCGCAGGACGACATCGCCGTCGGTGGCACTCGTCCCACGCCACCGGAGCGCCAGAACACGAACGAGTCCTCGCAAACTACCGCCTCCGAACCTGTACCTCTGTCTACCCACCCGACTCCAAGCCGTCGCGTGCGCTGGACGCCTTCAACCCAATCTACCAAGAGACCCAACATCTCTCTTCCGCTCACCTCTCTCACCTCTTCTCCAGATTCAGGAAGCTCCTCACCGGAAGCACAAAATGACTTGTACCGCCAACTGTCCATTTCAGCTTCCGCCTCCGCCAGGCGAATTCCCTCTCCATTGCACCTCAACCCTCGCCCCATGCCTTCCCCTGCAGGATCAGAGTTCTCAATCGTCACGCCCGGAGATTACCTTCCCACCCCTTCCTCAGGCGATCAGAGCCGCAATCGCAGCCCAGCTCGGAGTCCGCGTGCTCATCTCGCCACATACGATCTTCCTCCTCCTTCCCCTCCTCCTCAAGGACCCCTCCCCCTCCCCCCTCCCACAAACTCGCCCCCCTCGCCTTCACACCTTCGTAACCCAGCACCTACTCGCCCCATCCCGGCCCCTCCTCCTTCATACCCTCGCCCCATCGGCAACGGCATAAACCCTCCCTCCCGGGCACCCAGTCCCGGCGGCCTGATCCAACGTGGTCGCCAATCTCCCTTCCCTACCCGTCCCATCCTCCCCGCCGAAGAATCACGAGATCTCGTGCGACGGACGAGTTTCCAGACGCCCATCGGCGGCGCGCATGGACGGATGCCAATGAGATCCGCGAGCGCGATGAGTATACGACAGGATATGGCCGTTGGTGGTAATGGTGGTGGTGAGCGGTCGAGAGCGGCGGCGCCACCGGGGGCTTGGGATACGCGTGGTGGGAGGAGGTATGGTGGGTCAGAGGAGTCTGCGCTGGATTATGATTATGAGGAGGAGATTGATGCGATGGCTGCTACACCTGGGATCAGCGTCGTCAATGCTTCGGAGGATGGCGATGATGAAGAAGAGTACGAGGCTCGTATGCGGGACCAGGAACCCGACGAGGATATCCGTCCGGACGTGGCTCAGTTCTTTTTCGCTTCTGAAGAGGACAACACGACGACATCCACCTCTGGCCGTACGCGCTCCATCTTCGTCGAATCGTTCAACGAAGAAGACGATGCGTCCGTCTACCCTCCCACATCCGTCGGCGAGCCTCAGGGTGGGTACCTAGTCTCACCTTACGAAGACGGAGACAGGACGTCCGTGTGGAGTACGGGCACTGGGACTACTGGTGGCGGCTTTTTGGACGAGGAGAAGAGCGAGATGGTGAGGGAGAATTTCGTGAAGAGGGTAGGGCAGATGTATGGGCCTGGAGGCAGGGAGAGGGAACGAGAGGTGATCCCACCTGTCCCAGCGCTTCCGAGACGGTTCTGAGTTTGGATTTTCCTTGGCTGGCTTCGTGTCTCTTCTCTTTCCTCTCCTCTCTCTCTCTTCTTGGACTTCTTGCATCTTGCATCGCCGGCCGCGACATCGGACACCGTTCAGGTCGGACATTCACACTTCAACTTCATAACTTGTACCACTTTTTTAGGCCTACACTTGAAGTGCGCCACCCGCATACTGATACCTGTGACTCGGGCTTCGTCTCACTCGCTCGTTCTTGCCGCATTGCTGAATTTGTTCATATGTACAACGTTCTATCGGCTGGACCTTGAACGACCACCTCCGCTCGTTTCGTCTGGTTACTTGGCTGCGTCTTTATCCCTTTTTTTCTCTGTCGGTCGTCGCTCGCTTTCGTTCGCTCGTTTTCGTGTGCTCCGCATTATTGACTCCTTCGTGTTAACTCTGTAGAATTATATACCCACCCTTCGCTTTTCTTTTTCAAGGTTCGCACCGTGGTCGGGTCTTCATTAACATTCTTGAAGCAAGAGGCTTCTTCCGCTCTTTTGAACTTGAATGTACCACCGACTTGGACTTGCTTTTCTGTACCTCGTAGATTTTCGGGCTAATACTTGAAAGCCCTGACCACCGGTTATATCACACTTACATTTTCTGGTCGATGTTCGTAGCAGTCATTCAGCGCTTCTGGTCTCACAGCGACATTCCTTTTGCCACGGCAGTGTGAACCAAGCGGAATATATAACATATAATCTGAAAAATAACACAACCAGAGCGAGTGAAAGCGATAAACGGCACTACACCGCTTCAGAACGCGCCCACCATATGATCAGACAGCTCTCGGTCAACCATCCAGTCCCTCTCCAAGTCGTCTCCCACAATACGGCGCACCGCACTTAGCCATTCGGGATCTTTCAGTGTGCACCACAGCGCCTTCACGATCTCCCAATGCTCCGGGTACCACCCAGCCTCCTCCCAGTCGATGATGGCGGTGACATTGTCCCCTTGAACCATGATGTTACGAGGGGCAAGGTCGCCGTGGGTGAAGCAAATACGATGATCATCGCGCATACGCGCGCGTATTGCGGGTAGCGTCGTCTCGTCCATATACCGCTCCGCAACGGCGACGAGATGATCGTTGAAAGCGCGCTCGTCGGGGAAAGGGCCAGTAGGTGCCGACGAGATGCGACTATCCCAAAATGAGGCGTTGTTGAGAGCGCAGACAGCGTGGACACTGTGTCCCCGCGATAGAGTGGGTGACAAGGTTCGCAGCTGGGCGGCAAAGGAGCGCAGCTGCTCGACGACGTTAGCGCGTTGTCCGGCATCGAGATCGGGCCACGCGAATTCGAGAGGCATCCCTTCGACCCTCCGCATAAGCATGTAGGACCTTCCGAATGCACTATCGGACGCGACGACGTGCGGGACGGGAATAGTCGTATTTGAGCGGATGAAGTTCACAGTGGCGGCTTCAGACGCGACGTCGTCCCTGCCGATCTTGAGGATGAGGTCGAAGGGGAAGCGTTTGATTACACCTCTGTTTCTGCGAAGCCACGAGGGATCGTACCAGCCTCGGATAGCGATGTATGTCTTGATCATTAGGGCAATAAGCATCTTGACACTATAAGATACCAATGGAAAGAAAGAAGGTATCTCGACCGGGAGTTAGTGGTGGTCAGTGATAGGAGTTGATCAAAAGTTGGACGGACAAGTTTTATCCCTCTGTGCGCCACAGTGGCGTTTCGCACGGTCAAAACTGTGCCGCGCGACGCGTGAACTCGCGTGAAAGCCTGAGTCCGTTCAGTGGTCAAACGCTCACCTGCAATGGCTTCCTCTCTCCCTGGTGTGGCACCATTGTTTCCGGCAGGAAGAGAACCCTTGCCTCCAGGGCTCACGGAGGAGGACCGTGAGGTGATAAAGCAACAGAAGTATTACCAGGATTTGATCACGGAAGCACCACATTCATGCATAGGCAAGGGCATCCTTTCGACAGGCGCAGGTGCGTAGTCTCCGAATATTCGAGTGTCATAGTCACTGAAGTATCTTTGTGTGGGTTGATACATATATCAGGCTTCGGTGTCGGAGTCTTCATCTCCATGTTGTCTTCGTCATACCAATATGAAGATCCCCTTCTACGACAGAATCTGAGTCTACAACAGAAGACCTCAGAAATCTTCAAGGAGATGGGACGGAATGCCTGGCGGAGCGGAAAAGGATTTGCGAAGGTTGGAGGGTTGTATAGTGTGACCGAGTGTGTGATAGAATCGGTACGTCAGATTCCCTGGTGTCCGTTTCAGCATTAGCTAGTGAAGGTTCATTGTGGGTCCTGTCCGAATGCTGCCTTGCCTTTGTTTGTTTAGTATCGTGCAAAAAACGATCTGGTAAACCCCACCGCGGCAGGCTTCGTCACTGGAGGTATCTTGGCACGAGCGTCTGGCCCCAAGGCCATGGTTTTGGGTGGTATGGGCTTCGCAGCGTTCTCGTGTGCTATCGATCTATTCTTGAGGAGGGAGACGGCAGAGTGCGTGTTTAATGACTACGTTGACGACTATTGTTCACCTCACCTAATTATTCGATTCAACAGCGACGACTAACATTCTGATCCATAGACTGGCCACCGGAATAACTTATTGTCGCATATTGTATACACACCTCATCTCAGCTTCATCACATTGCTCTTGCCATAATATCACTCGCATCTGCCCCGGTACTCTGCCATTGTCCACCTTCGCCCAACATTCCGCGCATAGTCCGCTTGGCGAGGGCATCGACGCCGCCGCCGTCAGCGAATTGGCTACATCCTAACTCTGCTGGAGCCCGGACAGCGAATGGCCTACGATCGGTTCATTCTCCAGTAGACCATATCTTGATGTCTTCGTTCTCAGCATCCGCAACCGAACTCAAAAATGAAGAAGGGAGGTTTGACAAAGTAGAATTTGTGGGGAATGCAACATCCATGTTATCTTTTTGGCAGCAGAGCTCGAGCGAAATTGGTTCTCTGACCCACCACCGCGCAGCGGAATATTCTGTCGATTTCGCATGGAAGCATTACGGTGAACGAAATGCCCGGACTACGGCCATCGCTCTCGATAGCAAGGCCATGAAGGCTACCCCAGCAAGGCTTGTCCTGCGTCCGTCAGGTTCCAGCCGTAGAAGCATCTTTTAACTCACCTTTTAGCGTGCCAACGGACGGCCAACTCCAGGAACAGGATGGTCAGTGTCCTCTATGCATTACACTGCACTTTTTTAGGGTGCTGACTTACCCTGACGAGGCACATCATTATTTTAGATGATAGGCGGCGTCCGTCGACCAGAGATCACCAGTAAGTAAGATCGTTCTCGTTTTGGTATTCCAACCTTGATCACCGTGCAAAGGGCCTCTCCATGGCGCTTTTTTTCGCACTCATATTCTGGGCCTTAATATGGTGAGAATGATATGTGGCGCTCGTTGTAAGGTCTTCAGACCGTCGCACCTTCTGTGGAATGTTCACCGCTTCCATGCTGGGCGGTGCCGCTAGTGGTGAATGACCGAGTCCACCCGCGAACGACGTCGTATGTCGACGTCGGTCGGCCTATCACGAAGGGCCTACACTAGTATGAGACATCATAGAACAGAAACTTCTGGGTTTCGATGGAGCCCAATGGGTCGCTCCGTTTTCACATTAGATCTGCATGTGCACATCTCGAGTTATCGTATTCTGGGCCTCTCGTTCTGAACGTCCCATCATTCTTGACTGAGAGTTGAAAACCACAGAAATGTGATTAGCCTAGTCGTCACCAGAGACCTTACCTTTGGGTTCTCTGCGACAAGTATAGGAACTCGAAGCTTTCTCTTCTCCGTGAGCGCCATCGTGGGACTTTGTAGATCATGCGAGGAAGTGTTGAAGTTTGAGACTTCTTTCTCTAGCTACACTCCGCACCCGGAACCTCCTTCGCCTAGCAAATAATTCGTCACGGTTGCTGACTGTTCGGCGATGATGGATGGGGATATTACTAGGGGCCCAATACGGTGCACGAAGTGGCAAGAAACTTGAATACTACGAACAGCAAGCTCATAGCATGGATTGCGCGAGAGCGGCTACTACTCTGGCATTGGAGCAACAAGCTATGCCTCGACGACGATAGATTCGAGTGCAGCTGATAGGCAAAGCGTTCGTGATGCCGTATGGGCGCGTCCATTTAGAATCCTTTCCAAACCGCTGTCTCGATATAGACATCCCAAAAGCCGTCCCGATTGGGGAGTTTGTTCGTCCCAAAAAGGAAGGCCTTGTTTCAACCGGCCTCACGCCTCGACTTCGCTGTCGTCAACTCCGTAAGATAGCCTCTTTTCAGGGCACCGAACGTCCCTGTTCTGGTTTAATTCAAAGCCAAGAAGCCCGGTCTGGGTTCTTCTGTCTCGATGAGGAGTAAAATTGTCCATGATACTGGGCTTGACGAAGACGCCGGGGGTTTTACCTTCGTCATATCACTTCTCCGGCGCCACCAGGTTCGGCGTGTTGAATCAGGGTGCAGTTCGCTCGTCTTTCAAGGTTCCGTTTTGGGACAACCTTTTCTCGGTCGCTCGTTCAATATGCGACGAGTATATAGTATGCTCCTTTGCCTTGCTTACATCGACAGGTCTTCCTCAAGCTACATCACAGCCCTCCTAGCTACATCCTCTCTCGCGTTCCTATACTATTATTCCTCGACCAGACACCATCATATTCAACCAAGATGCGCGCAACAATCTTTGCCTTGTCTTTCATTGCTCTGTTTACCATCTTTTCTGGTCAGTCATATTTCTTCCTGCATCCACCCTGCTCCTGCTGACTAACGTGTTCCCATTACAGAAACATCGGCTGCACCACTACCCCCACATGCTGGCCTGGATATGTTGAGATTCCCCGGGCTGCCAACTTGGAACGTACCCAAGGCTGCCGACAAGAGGATGTGCGTCTCCGACTGCAGAGAAGTTCTCATCGTGAGTATTTTTTTTTCACGCGGCTAAGCATGTGCAACATTAACGAACTCTCCCACCGGTTTTCAGCCCGCTTCTTCTTCTGCATCCTCCGTCGACCTGTCCACGGTCTCGTTCTCGGCGGCTTCGTCGGAGGCATCAACTGTCCCTTCAGCCACCTCAGCTTCGGCAGAGCCCGCCGCGACGAGCGCAAGCTCGAACTCATCGACCACCTCCGACGACTCTATATCAGACAGCGCGATGACACTGGCGAAGTTCTTCGACGCCATTCTCAAGGCCTTCTCGAGTTCTTCATCTTCGTCTACATCTACCGCGGCCGTTGAGGCCACCCCCTCCTCTGCACTTTGAATGTGCTATTCCTATCACCACCCCTCATAGAGTTTGCAATTCCTTTCAAAACGCGTGGCCGCTTCATCGCATCGAGTCCCAACCCACTCTGCTATTATTCTATCTCGATACCCGTCCTGCATTCACCGCCACACCGTCCATTCCTATTCCTGCTCTCAGAGCCCTCCCGACCTGCCCGTGTTCGACGCAACCCTTTGTCACACCCAGGTCTGGGTTGTAACCCTCTTCGACCTTCGCTGTCTTTCTTTGATGCCTTTTGGACCCTGTGACTCTGTACTCCACGGATTTCGGATTTCGTTGTGCGCCTTCGTTTTTTATCTGTTCGATTATACTTTCGATTTCCTCCTCGTCGTCTCTGCGGTTAGCCCGGCTGCGTGACCTCCCTTCTTTACTTGGATTGTACTACAGTCCCCGGAGAACCTACACCTTAATCCGACTTCACACATCGCGATATCTTTTGATACATTGCCTGCTCTTAGTATCCTTGTTCTGCTACCCTGTACAGTATTACTACCCAATACTTGACCCTCTTACCACCCACTAGTCTGCGTACCAATAGTGCTCTTGATCAAATCGATCAACTTTTGCAAACTTCAAAGCTGTGTGATGAGTGTGAAGGGAGCAAACGGCCATGCAATCTTGGTGCACTACATTGAAGATAAACCGATGTCGACGGCCGTCGCGAAGGTGAACACAAGTGAAGTACCTTGACAGAGTGATCCTCGCACCCGCCGGTTGAACGCCGTCTACTCTGCTTGAGGAGACTAAGTACCTTGGGGGACGTGCATATCTAAAACATATATCATAAACATGTACATAGTGGACTACTAGCTACAAGCGTTGTCGTACAGTCAAATCCTACAACATGAACGGGGTATCCAGACACCGGAAAACGGCCGGCGTTTTCCCTCTAGTCCTCCAACAACCCAATCCCCCTTCCCATCCCCGCCTCGCTCTCCCACTGCGTAGTAGTAGTATTAGCAGTCGAACTCGCAGTCACACCTCCACCGGTACTCCCCGTATTCCCCCACCACATCCCTCCACTGCCCAGCCACGCCGCGGTCATCCACGCCTCGTGCCTAAACGCCTTCACAGCCTCCAAATCGCCCTCCCTATCACTCCTCCATGCTCTCCCCTCCAGATCCCTCGCCAACGCCGTAAACGCCGCCGGACATCCGACGTGCCCGGCCGGATGCGCCGAGAACATCTCGCGGTGCATGAAGATGAGATCGAGATATTCTCCGGAGGTGGTGCTCAGGGAGGTCGTTTCGGTAGGGGTGGTGGTGGTGTGGTTGTTGTTGGTGTTGTTGTCGGGAGGAGGGGCTGAGGGATCGGCCCCGTTCGGGTTGCACTGATCGGGAGCGAGGTGTGTGATGATGGATTGGAGAAGGGGACATGGAGCGGGATAGGCTTGCGCTGGGGGTGGGACTGACGGAGCGGTGTTGGCGGTGGCGGCGGGGGTTTGGGTAGTGTTCGTTGGGTGCTGCGGTTGAGAGTAAGTTCCGTCGGAGGAACTTGAGGAGTCCAAAGTGTCTGACATCGACTGCGAGTTGGGGACACGCCACACATAAAACATCAGCGCCACATTCAACAGACACAAAGCCGCCCTGGGTGAATTGAAAGAAACTCACGACTGAGGTCTCCATCTCCCCGTCCATTGAGATATCTGGACTTCCCATCCCGTCCGCTCCTGATCTTCGTTCTCCGCTGGGCTGCAAGTCCTCGTTTACTCGGGCCTGCTACCTCCATCACAAAAACGTCCGAATAAGCCTCCTATCCCACTTCGGAAGAAAAGAAACGATGAGGAAGGCGATGCTCACCCCGTGTCCATGGTTGCTCATCTTATGTTGAATGCTCAGCGAGCTCAAAAGCGATGCCAACTCGAGATCGAGCTATTACAGAAGAGCAGATATCCAGTTGTAAGTCAGTCACGGCGATAAGCAGAGCGAAGGGCGAGATTGGAAAGATGTCGATGAAGTAACTTACCTCAGAGCCATACATCGCACTCGGCGAGGTAGGCGATGTCAGTTCAAGTGGCATCCGCCCGTAGGCCATGACCTCCATATGTGACATTGTAGTTCAGAGGTATAGGAGTATCAAAAAATCAAATAGATCGGCGTTCGTTGGCGTCAATGTGTAGCGACGAAATCACAAGTGAAGACGACGAGTGTTAGCAGTCAGGCGCGGGTGGGTTGTGGGCAAAGATGAAAGATTGAAAGCAAGACTCGCTATCGCACTCCCAAGCCTTTATACCACACTCCCGACTCCCGATCAGTGAGGACAGTGACCCTATGTACCCGCGCCTCAAACCCCATATCGGCCACGTATCCGGCCCACGCAGCCCCCAGCCCTCAGCGGTATGTAACTGTACTTCAGAGAGAACGCACAAATGTAGACTCATCGAGGCAAAGCGCAGGCAGTAAGGCTGGCCTCATGACTGGAGCTCGAGGTTATCGGATGGTGTGCCTCGAGGCCTCAATGCTCTTTACTTACTCATTGTGTAGTGCTAACCCACGTCTGCTGGGCCGCTGGGGCAAAGGGAAATACTAACGCGGATACTTATCTGGCAGGTATGCAGCAGTACCTACTACTGATCCTGATTGACAGAAGCGTACTGTGCAGGAAGCATCAGTATAGACGCGGGTGGTGATGGAGCTCGGAATAATAGGAGCGTGAACGATTGAAGAGGGGCCTAAAGGCGATCATGCGGAGACTATCAATAAAAACAAAGACGACAGACGCTGGCCACAAAGTGCCCAACATGTTCAAAGCAACACCGACGGGCCTCTTGCACTGGCAGATCAACGCGTGGGATGCAGCAAGCCTCCCAGAATAGGGGTCTCAGGGCGGCCAAAAGGCGCATCACGCAGGATGCCGAACTCGCTGCCGTCCCCTCAACCCATCACTGCTTCACCACTCGGCGCACAGAGCGAACTGCAGCCTCACGCGTGCCTCATGCTGAACAGGCGCATCAAGGAAAAAGGGCTTCCATCTCCGAGCGATCTTGACCAAGAAGGTCGCTAACAGTGCCGATCACCATGAACGGTGGGCGGCCTTGCTGAGGAGGTGCTTTGGCAGGATTGATGACTGTGACTTCCATTATCGATTCGGTAGTATATTCATTTTGTTAGATCATTCTGTGGATTTGAAAGAACATCGAATTAGTGATCTATTACAACAAATGGATGAGGTGGGGGGGAGGGGAGGAGGCTCAGAGAGAAGATAACGTCTGCGAGAGACGTGAATCACGGGCAAGCGAAAGGTCGGAGAGTCCGAACCTGACCTTGCCTCAGAAAAATGAAGTGTGATACGTTCGTGTTCATCAAAGCGATCAAAAGGGCCCAAAATTCATATAGAATTGGAGGTTGGGAACGCAAAGATAGCAAGAAGGAGGGACTCACTCGGGGGTCGAGTGCTGCACTCTGCCAAGTTCGATTCTTGTGGGGAAGATGGAGGAGGGGGCAGGGAGCACAAAAGCCTCGTATACTGCAAGACGGTATCGGGACAATGATAGGTATCAGTCACATGTTTGTTCGTGTTCGTGTGTTGTCGTTCAGTCTGAGTTACAAGATGAAGTAATAGATATCTGTACAGGAGTCAAACGTTCAGCAAACACGTCGAGAATACGGAGCACAGAGGAGTTCAACTCACCAGATCACCCCCTTTTCTTTCAAATTTTGTTCCAAGAAAACCACAAATAGATCAAGAAACACCCATCGCTCCCAATATCAACATCCCCCACCAACGTTAACAATCAATGTAATGCCGCGAACCCCACAACAACCACGAAAGCCACACATCCACTCCCCCACACACTAACCGCCCTCACATAATTAACCCACACAAACGCCAACACACCCGTCACCTGCAGCACGAACCCAACCAAGATAAACATCGAGCACGCCGTATGACACCGGCTCAATAACCTCATCAGCTCCCTATGATCCATCTCCAAATCCGGATCACTATCACTCCCACCAGTACCGCCACTTGAAGTCGAACCGGTCCCAGTGCGATGGTGTCGGCCAGGCCGTCGTCCACATGTACATATCGAAACCAACGAAAGCCGTTTAAGATTAAACTTAAACGGATGCACCCTCGACACGAACACGCCCAATCCCAGACTCTTCTGCACAGCCTGAAACAGCTCAGACGGATGAGTGATGATAGGCGGGAGGCTCAGGCTCCCTGCCGCTGTGTGAGACGGAGTCCTGGAATGAGATATAGTTGGGAGAAAATGCGGGCCGCGGGTGGATGAGGAGAAAAATGCGAAGGGGGAGTGTGGGCGTGTGGTGCTATTGGATGTGGAGGTGCCGTAGGGAGGAGCGCGGTCGGTGGTGGTGGAGGTGGAGGGACCGGCGCGATGGCCCTGTCCTTGCCCGGATTGAGACTCGGCGCTGGAGGGATCGGCGGCGTGACGAGTCGGGACAGGGTTGGCGTTAGTATTTTGGTTTGTAGCGTTGGCGTTGGCGTTGGCGAGATTGATTTGTTGTAGGAAAATATCGGAGATGAAACTTGTCTCTGTGCCATCGCCGACGGTGACTCTGTGATGCGCCGTTTCGTTGAGGTTGTAGCGTATGAGGACGAAACACGCTATGTACGCCAGAATCGCTAAAAGAAAACGGCAAGGATATATCAGCGTCTACGTCTTGCATCGGAAAGGCTGATAGGGGTTTTGTGGCGTGGAGATGTGGCGTTCAGGACATAATTTGGAGATGATAAAGACGGGTTGTGTTCGAAGACATCGATTTACGTACCCGAAGCAGCATGGAAAATCAACGCGCCAACGAGTGTCGCGTCCATGACTCTTACCGTTACACTCGTATGGCTGCCCGATCCCCTCGACAAACCGAGTAAGCTCGAGTCTATCCCCGTGAAAAATGTGGCCTGAGGTCGCGAGATAGATCGTTGAATAGAGAAAATATGCGATGAATGGGTGGTAGCAGGACGTAACAGTGTCATGTATATAGAGAAATCCGGTCAGTACAAGACGAAGAAGAAAGAAAAAAAAACACAAAGTGCTCACAAAAACAGAAATGAGCTGTAGCCGATCGTGCCATATCGTGATGACCTGCACGATTGCTTGCGAAGACGCGGATTCAAGAAGTGCTTTGTGAACTAGATTCGGGTCTGTTGCTAGAACTGATGAATTAGCAGGAGGTTGAGATGGATATATAGGAAACCATGTGCGAGGCCAAGGTCAGAGCACCCTTTTCAAGTTGAAGAGGAGCAGTTGAATATCGGTCTGATTATCGACGTCGACGAGTTCGAATTGGAGATCCCTCCAGTAGTTATCGTAGCACTGGATCAAGGACACCATCCATGTTTCGAACTTAATTTTGGCGCGGTGACGGCGTTGAGCACCCGTTTATCACACTGCAAGTCGACGACACCGAGCACAGCACAATAAAATGCGCACATCCCCGAGGACGAGGAGGACCCGAGCGAAGAATGCATGACGCGTCGTGAGATGATGTGATTAAATGAATATCCAGGAGGGCTCAAATTTTCAAACTTCGGGGAACCGAACGAAAAGTCATACGCGACTCACCAGGCTTTGGTTCGCTCTGATTTGTTTGCCGCGCGTCGAGCATCTCGATACCTCCTTTGCCTGTCGTGAAGAGCAAGATGAGCAGCTGAGTTAGTCTAAACTACCTTATATCAAAATTGAAGCGAATAACGATGTATCAAGAATGGAAGAACGCGCGAATGAAGCAGTACAACTACTACGCACTTGTAGACATGATGCTGAGCCTGTTTTTTTCGAGTGCCCTCTATTCCTCTGACTAGTATTTCGAAGGCCTGGCTATCCTTGAGCTCGAGCAGTCTGGCTTGCTATTTTTCGGGATACCGAGGAAAGAGCAAAAGAGGCTGACGACAAGGCGCCCAGATTGGAAGCGAACGAGCATGAGTCTACTGCAGAGTGATCCGCATCCCCATAGACCAACCCCAGAAGGCAAAGTACGCGCGCCTGCGGCCTGATATCACCATCAAACGAACACCGTCAGGATTTGCAGGCGATGAGGACGAGTGGAGGACGTTGCTCACGACGACGACGTGCCGGCGGAAAGGGAAGATGCTGTAAGTCGGCTGGATATGACGGAACAAGCGGAAATACAAATGCGATATTGAGTCTATCTATAGCAGCGCACCGTGCCGCAGCGTGTTCATTCTGTTGAAAAGGCTGCAGCGGACAGCAGCGCACAGAACGCGTCCTCTCTGGCCCCTTGCCTTTCACCGCTAGCAGCACACGTCGTCCTCGTCGTCCCCGTCGCGCCCAACAATTTATTCCGACGATTTATCCAGGCTCCTCCTTATTTCCACCAAGCCCGCCCTTATCTCTTCCGTGAGTTTTCGGACACAATTCGCTCATACATTCTCCGTTTTCGTGTGACTTTGACAGGCGGAAGGCGCGAAATCCAATTTCGCGCGTAGCGATGAGCTAATCGTGCAGGGTTTGCTGCGTATTTTTATCGACCACGCTGGCCTGCGCTCTGCTTCTTTTCTGTGTGCCCTTCACGCTCCTTGCTGCACGCTCGTCCTCGTCCTCCTCGCGACTTCCTCCTCTCGCGTCTTCCCTCAACCCAGCCCAGCTCATCTACTGTCGTTGTTTGGACCAGATCAATCATAGAAGCCATGTTCTCCTTCTCCAAGCTCGCTGCTCTCGTACGTATCCTTGTACTTCCCTACCTCGAAGATAAGGAATGTTGACCTTTTTTTACCTTGTCTTTTCCGCGTTTTCTACCCACCGATGGCTCCCGTATTGTCCTCTGTACATCCTTTTTGTTATGGCCATTTATATCCCTCGAATGCGCCTACAAATAGGCGTTGGCCTCGGCCGCTGTTGTCTCTGCTTCTGATATCTACGTCCAAGTCGGCGGCAACACGTCCACCAACGCCTCCCTCGTCTTCCAGCCCCAGCTCATCACCGCTGTCGAGGGTGATATCGTCTTCTTCAACTGTATGTCTGCCTCACACCGCCTCTTCCGATATTATACTCATCATTCATCACCCCGCAGTCACCCAGGGCAACCACACGGTGACCCAGTCCACGTTCGCCTCTCCATGTATCGCTGCACACGAGACGAACAGCAGCATTAACGGGTTCGACTCCGGTTTCCGCGACACCGTTAACGGAACTGCGGTCACCATTCTCTCTGTACCTATCACCGCCGATATCGCCAACCAGACCCTTTGGTTCTTCGACTACAACACCTGTGGTGAGGGTGGTGTTGGTGGTATCAACCCCAACCAGAGCTCTTTGGAGACTTTGGCTGGGTTCGAGGTCAGTTCTCCGAGCTTTTAAAATCATTTTACTTGTCATCGGTCATTGCCTTCCTTGGTGGGAAATTGTGCGGGCAAACGCGAGGCAGGCTTCTATTCCTATTCTTGAGTCTGCTTCTGGCCACTTGATGCACAATCTGTGTTTTATATCCGGCTTCTATACGTGTCCACGTCGCGTATAGCCCTAAATTTACCACAAACGCCTTGAACGTCTCACCTTTCCATTAATTCTCCCTTTCTTGTCTTCACCCCTACTGACGCATCACTCTCCTCCTCCCTTCGTGTTTTTCATATACAGCGTAACGCCGAGCGTCTCAACGGCACCGCCAGCTCCTCGACCTCCGGCTCTCACTCCTCCACTCGTACCGCCTCCAGCTCCAGCTCGACGTCCTCTTCCACCTCGTCCGACTCTTCCGGCGCGGAGAAGATGGTTGCCTTGGGAGCGTTGAGCAGCATCCCGCTGTTCATCGCCGGGCTCTTGCTTTAAACATCCACCTCTCCCCCTCCTCACTAACGCCCATCACTCTATGGGAAGATGAGATGGGAGGACGGGAAGGGCTTGGGACTGGTCTGAGCTAGCCAGGACTTGGAGATCACATCCCCTCGCTCCCTCTGACGAACTCTCGACGAACATTCCAGACTCACACACGTGCACACAGGTCTCTGGCCTTTTATTCCCACTAATTATTTTTCCTCTTTTCTTCCCCTTTTCCCGACGTACTGGGTTTTGAGTCTCTACCTTTTTCTCTGGTTCGCTTGCTTGCTCCGATCTGTCTTGACTCTGCTTGTTGTTTGTTAGTTGTTTGTACACAGTACATTTTCGCTCTTTTTGGCTGCTCTCAAGTTGTTTGATCCTTTGACTTGTGGCCCCCCCTGTTTGTGTTTTACTACCCCCCTCGACTGCTCTCCGACTACATACATACATCGCCGCGTACCATACATACAATACGCGCGCCTCCCTCCCCCCTCCTCGCCTTCATCTCAAACCTCGCCTCCGTCCTGCTCCCGCGGCTGTCGTCCGATTTCGCTTCCGCTGTGCATAATTTTCATCGTGCATTTCGATCCAACTCCGTGCTCGAAACTGTCTCGGCGCTTTCTTTCTTCGTGTTTGTCGTTTGTTTTTTGATAGGAGTCTAGGACGTGCGTTGGGGAGCGTGGGTAGGTGTGCGTAGATCTTTTTGCGTGTTCGTTCGTTGTTGTCGTTGACGTGCGTTCCCTTCCTTCGATCCACCCGTCCGTCCATTGTGCGAGATAAATCGGCCTACTAGTACTGTCGTTGTTGTACATACTTGCGATGCACCGCTCGGTCCCATGCCCATGCCCGCGATCCAATCTATGTTCGTGCTATAGTAACGTACGGGGATAGGTGTCTATGGATGGGATGGGTGGTGTGTACGTACGAATGGATGGATGAATGAATATACCCTGCGCTTTTTTTGTACTTTTTGGGAGTGTTCGTTGGTGTTCGAAAGCTGTGAGGCACCTGGAGCCGTGTATCTTTCATGTTTTATTCTGTCTTGGTGGCTATCGCTCAGGCCTGAGAAAAGATATGGCCCATCGAATACTCTACAATTTACTCGAGCTCTTTCGAAATCAATACTCACGGACCTCCGACGTCAACGCCGTGGGACGTCGAGTATGTGCTCGAGTAGAACGGTGAGTGGCACCTCGCCTCAATGTGGCGACACCTACATTGACAATTCAAAAACCGTCCCGGCTAACGGGTTCTTCCGTCCCTCGGAAGGATGTTGCGGGACTATAATTCCCGCTCCAGCCAATCAGAGCGCGCCTAATCACGAAAACTGACCGTGTTGGGACGTCGCGTGAGTGCCGGTTGAGTGCGGCGGTCCGACGTGCTTTCCACGATGCGGGGGGCGGGACCCCACATTTCACGAGTCCGGAGGAGTTGTTCGATATTTCAGTGGGGTTGGCTTTGATATCTACCAGTTGGTCGACCTTGAGAGCTTGAGAGAGTTTCGTTGTATCTTTCCCTGTCTGGATCACTTGGACTTTCACCAGCAAGCTCTCCTATCTTCAGCGAAACCTCCTCAGATACACACCCTTGAGTCTTGGCTAGCACGTCTGAGCACTTTGTTCGACTTCGCGAACCCCACATCTCTACCAGCTTTGGTTACCAGTCTCTTTTACGTTGCTTGGACCATTGGAATTTGAAGCTTGAAGCTTAGACTCTGGGACTTTCATACGACGTTCATAAAGCCAAGATGGGACAGGAGAAGATCTCGGGAAAGGTCGTGGCGGAGCATAATACGAGGGAGAGTTGTTGGATTATCGTTCATGGTGAGTCGTCTATGATTTATACTTGAGTTGTGGTCGCCGTGGAAGAGGGGATACATGTCCAGTATGTCTGGTCTGGGTGGGTGATATGAAACGGGCTCTTCATTCGACGATTTAGTGCATCGGTTTATCATGCTCTTCGTCAGGAGTAGCTGAGAAAATGTTAGGCCTCGTTAGAGGACGATATGGAAAACCGTACGCACGCATTGCTCATGCTATGGTGTCTTTAGAAGACGCTATGGACTGGAAGTCTGTATCTGCACCTTGACAGACTAGTGTCTGTCTGTAGGAACATGATATATTCGGTGCATGTATGGCACAGCAATTATCTGCCATCAGGCTCAATTCCGACAATAATTTACTCTCCCTTCTTCTGCATTTGTGCACACTTCAAACCACATGCTAACTGTTGTTTTGCTTTCCAGGAAACGTTTACGATGTTACGGAGTTCTTACCTGGTAAGTCCGGCGACTTTATATTGTGCATATAGCTTCGAAGTATACCTAGAATCTGACCCCCTTTTCTACGTCGTGATTTTTGCAGAGCACCCAGGTATATAACTACTGCTATATATTTAATTTGTGGCAGGATCTGATGGAGAACTGAATTGTCGCAGGAGGAAGCAAGATCATCTTGAAATATGCCGGAAAGGACGCTACGTACGTCCCTATCTTTCCTTCTTTGTCTCCTGACCCGTCGACATTCGCCCTCATCCCAAGGCTGTCTAGGCTAATCGCCATCTCTTTCTGTCCTACAGCCAGGAATACGACCCGATACATCCACCAAACGCTATCACCGACAACCTCCCACCAGAGAAACAGTTCGTCTTCTCCCTCTGTCTCAGATTCCACATCATATTCTTTGCTTGCTCACATCGTATGCCTGAATTTTTCAATAGTCTCGGCGCAGTAGATATGGGAACCGTCCAAAAAGTCAAGGTCTCCATCTCAGATGAGGATAAACGACGGAAGGACCTGTTTAATTCGCGTCCGCCACTCGAGGAGATCCTCAACTTGCATGATTTCGAGGTCAGTTCCCATCGTTTCAGCTGTCCATCCTGTATGAGTTGAACCTTATTCCTTGCATTTCGATTGTTGTGGCGGTGGCGCATGGTGTGGCGTGGCAATAACGACCTAGTCTATCGCGAAACTGGTGATGCCTGAGAAGGCATGGGCGTACTACTCCTCCGCCGCAGACGACGAGATCACGAACAGGGAGAACCACGTCGCGTACCACAGGTCAGTTCCTTGCCGCCCCCCCTTGCCCTTCTATCGCTGACAAGACTACGGATGTGTTACTGACCGTGACTATGTTGTTTGTGGCAGGATATGGTTCCGACCGCGTATTCTGCGCGATATGACCAGTGTTGACTGGTCGACTACGATTTTAGGCCATAAGTCTAGCATGCCTATCTACATCGTGAGTATCCTCCCATATTCTCCTTTCTCTGCGTTATTCTGGTGCTAACGGGGATGCATTCGTAGACAGCGACTGCACTCGGAAAGCTAGGTCATCCGGACGGAGAACTCAACTTGACGAGAGCAGCGGCGAAGCATGGTGTTATTCAGATGGTATGCCTCTTATCCTTCTTCTCTTTGCTCACACCTGTCAACGAGAGCATTTCTATGTGTGTGTATTGACCATGACTTTACCATTCAGATCCCCACGCTTGCGTCATGCGGTTTCGACGAGATCATAGACGCCGCCAAACCGGGACAGACCCAGTTTTTGCAATTGTAAGTCCTTCTTATGTTGTTTCCCTGTCTCTGGCGGTGAACAGTCGTTGACATCCCTCTCCATTGGTATTGGTGCTCGTGATGTATAGGTACGTCAACCGGGATCGCAGTGCGACCAAGCGTGTCGTCCAGCATGCAGAGAAGCGGGGCGTCAAGGGATTATTCATCACCGTGGATGCACCACAGGTCCGAGCCACTGCACCCTGAATTGTGTTCCCACAAGATCTTGACCTGAGATATCTTAGCTCGGACGCAGAGAAAAAGACATGCGAATGAAATTCGACGCGGAAGATCCAGACGAGGTGGCAAAGTCAGGCGAGGGCGTGAATCGGTCGCAGGGCGCTGCGAAGGCTATCACTGTGCGTATTTTGAGTTATTGGCTGACAAAACAAGAATTCACGGGTGTGGCGATTTGACTTGGTGTGTGTCTCTAGGGTTTCATCGACCCGAGTCTGCAATGGTCAGATATTCCGTGGTTCAAGAGTATCACGAAGAGTGAGCTTCGAGTTTTAGATTCGTAAGGAAAGGTGGATATTGATGGATGGCGTTACCGTTTCGGATTTTAGTGCCTATTATCCTCAAGGGCGTGCAATGTTGGGAGGTACGTCTTTTCTTCTCATCTCCTTCCCTTTTCCACTCCCTCGTTTCCTGACTTGATGATTACAGGACGCACTCGAAGCCTACGACCTCAACCTTGCCGGCGTCGTTCTCTCCAACCATGGGGGTCGCCAACTCGATTTCGCCCGCTCCGGAATCGAAGTCCTCGTCGAGGTCGTCGAGAAGTTCAAGGAGAAGCGCGGGATCACGTTCCCAAACGCGAAGTTCCAGCTATTTGTGGATGGAGGTGTGAGGAGGGCGACGGACGTGTTGAAGGCGGTGGCGTTGGGTGCGACTGCTGGTGCGTCTCTTCTCACGAGTGAATTGACTTGCAAGTGGCGGAACGTTGACCTTTCCGGTTTTTTCTCTTCTTTCAAAGTTGGCATTGGAAGACCATTCCTCTATGCGTTCTCGACCTACGGAACGGAAGGAGTCGACCATGCGCTGCAAATCCTACATGTACGCCCTATCGTCGTCAATACTCATCCTTCCACTAGACTAGTGTGATTGACGCGACGGATTCCGTTCTAGGACGAGTTTGAGATGAACATGCGCCTCATCGGCGCCAAGACGATCAAGGACGTCGTCCCGGAGATGGTCGACGCGTCTAACATCCATACGCATGTCATCGCTGTGCCGGGGGATAGGCTCTATGATTCCAATTGTCCGTCTTTCCCGTCCTTCGTCCTTTCTCTGCGATTGTCACAGAGATTGAACGCTGACGTATTTTTTTTGTTCAATGTGTGTCGTATGCGTGTCGGTCGGTTGCAGACGAGGGAATGCAGAGTGCGCGGTTGAGGGATGCGAGGGCGAAGATGTGAGAGACGTTCAACATCACGGTCGATCCTGCATGGACGTTGCCCAAATGACCACTTATGATTACGACGACGAGCGATCATCACTATTTACCCCCGGCCTGTGGATGTCGATGGAGAGATCTAGTGATTCGGGGAAGGTTCTGTGTCTTGGGTATCGTGTATCTACTAGATGTGCAAATCCTGTGGTATATATGCATCTCTATTGTGGAAACCAGGGTGCGCCGAAGATATAGCACACTTCATGTGGAGTGTGGCGTTTCATGGCAGTGTAGCGTTGATGTCATGATAGGTGAAAGGAGGCGCTCTACCGGACGTGCTTACAGGACATCACCAAGGGCTTCGAGGAATTCGAGGCACAGAAGGAGTAAAGACTGAGATAACAACACAGAGCAAGATTAAGTACGCAAGCGATAGCGGGAGGGGTAGCAACAGCAGAAATTCGATAGCGAAATTGGACAGCGATGGAAATGACTGGTAAGAGCGAAAGGCAAAAAGGGTATGTGCAGGGTACGGTGTGAGGACCCCGAAATATAGAGTATGACACCAACGCCGGAGATCGAAAAAGAGTAAGAACACCCAAGTATCACCACTTCCAATTTTGTGCGGCCCAGGCGATTTGTTCACAGTAATGAAGACAATCGAAGAAGACCCGCTTGGATGAGGATTCTAGTGGATCTTTACGCTTGTGGAGACGGCCGTGTAGTGCGGTACGCGAGAGCGATCCCTTGATGGTTCGGTAGATTTCCAACGCTTCTGCAGCAGACGGTCGAGCGTGAGGATCGTCTTGGGTCATCGCATCGAGGAGCGGTTTGAGTATATCGAACGAGGTATAGACCTGGAGCCTGCCCTTAGCATGTCGTATGTCGTACGACAAGGAGAGACACATACCTCCACTAATTCTCGCTTGTACGTGGTTCCTAGAGTGTAGATGTCGGGTTTGAAAGCGTCATATGGCCATAGAGATAGGTTCAGGGTTTCGGGTGCGGCAATACTAGCCTTTGAGTGTACTACTATGCGAGTACTGTCCGATGGGCCAAACTGAATCGACTCCCCAAAATCGATGAAGTAGTACTTCACTCCGCCAACCTGTGTGCGCGTTCGGACGTGGCGAAGCCGTTTGCCCCGAAGATCGATTCCGGGGTCGTCGAAGTGAATACCTCGAGGGTACATGCGAGGGAAGTCTCCAACAATGTTGGTCATAGCGCAGTCTCTGTAGATATAGAAGAAGAAAAAACTCGAAACGTTTATCGAGCTGACTTGGAGCTGAGACCCAAAAACTCACCGATGCGCGATTTGGTTCTCATGCAGGAACACAAGACCCTGCATTGTTTCTGAGACTCGTGACAGGTTGACGAAGCAGATGAACCACGTACCTCTAATGTTTGCTCAACGAGGTCCAGCCCCTCCCCAATTGTATCGAGCTCCATGTCATAGAGAGACTGGCCAAATGGAAAAACCATGAAACATTGGTCGGGAGCATATATAACATCGAGCATGGGCAGTGCCGGATTTCGTGAGTGATTCTTGAGGGGCTCAGACGAGAGTATGGTATTGATTTCGAGCTCTGTCTGACCATTGGCTGGCAGTTCGAATCTCTTGAGCACAACAGGACGGCCATCGCTGATGCGCACTGCGTCCATAACAAGACTGCAAGCAGGACCCTGGATGAATAGATGGAGTGACATAAATGGGTGGGCAAGGAGATGAAAAAAATAAAACCAATAAGGAAATTCAATGCAGATCTCTGGAGAAGTGAAGTAAAGCAGCAGCGCACGCTATGTGAGATACAGTCCTCACACCACTTCAGTGTCGTGAGCGTTGTACCGTCCAACCACGATGGCGTCCACCCGACGCGAAACCGAGGACGGAGCATGTAACCCTTGGACTGAAGCCAGGGTTGTATATGAACCCATTGTCGCTCCGCAGGTTCCAAGATGGCGACATATTGGTCGTGTGGAATTGACCGTGGTGATGGCATGGGGTGCTGTCTGGTTATTTCCTCGAGAGAAGGCCAGCCTGGCCAAGAGATATGGTCCTTCTCGGGACGTTCATTAGAGACATTCGTCCTAAAACAAAGGACTCGGAAGGCCGCGACGATCGAAAGAAACGGCATGCCTGAGCGCAAGGGCGGCGATGACGGAGAATGGGTTGAAGATCTTCGACATGACTCACTTCAGGCTGGAGTATATGTGATGATGGGACCTATGGTGGCGAACAATGCTCCGGCAGATCAGGATCCCCAGGTTTCCAAAGAACAAAAGAATAAGACGACACTGGCAAGTCGAAGTTCAACACAAGACCCGAGGACACGGCCATATCAGACAGTCTCACGGCGGGATCGCTGCACCATGTGCTGTCAATCACGAAAGACGGGCGCCGAAAACTCGGCGACAACCACAAGTCGACTCAGACTCCGAGGAGGACTCTGTATTAATCCTTACTAGGCGTCCTAGGCATGGCGAAGGAGCTATCACAATCACAGACACAGGCTAAAACTTTTCAGTGCCTCTGTAGCAGATGGTCGAGCGTCTGGATCGTGTTGAGTCATCGCATCGAGAAGCGGATTCAGGGAGTCGAATGAGGTAAAGACCTGCAACGTTTTATCAGCATGTCGCACGTTGTACAACGATGAGAAGGAGAGCAACATACTTCCGTCAAGACTCGCTTGTACGTGGTTCCCAAGGTATAGATGTCCGGCTTGAAGGCGTCGTAGGGCCAGAGAGACATTTCCAAAGTCTCCGGAGCAGCAATGCTCGCTTTCCAGTATACTGTGACGCGCGTGCTATCCGACGGGCCGAACTTGATCCCTTCACCAAAATCATTGAAGTGGTACTTCATTCCAGCAACTTGGGTGCGCGTTCGGACATGGTCAATCCGTTTGCCTCGGGTATCGTACAGGCTGCTGTCGAGGGCGAGTCTCCAACGTCGTTGGTAATAGCGCAGTCTCTACGGAGGAAATTTGAACTTTACAACAAAGCTGGCCGTCGAATAAGCTCTGAATCACCGATGAGCAATTCGCTCCTCGTGCAGGAATACAAGACCCTGCGCGACTTTGAGACCCGAAACGTGATGCAACAAGGAGGGTGAACTACGCACCTCGAGTGCTTGCTCGACAAGATCGAGACCCTCCCCAATAGTATCAAGTTCCATTGAATAGAGATACTGGACAAAGGGAAAAACCATGAAGCATTGGTCCGGAGTGTATATAACATCCAGCAAGGGCAGGGCCGGATTTCGTGGATTGCTGTTGAGGGGCTCGGATGAGAGTAGGGTGTTCATTTCGGGTTCTGTACGTCCATTCGCCGGCAGATCGAATCTCTTGAGTAGAACGGAGCGACCATCACTGACGCGGACAGCATCCATGACTACACTGCGAGCAGGTTTCTCAGGCTGCACGGACGAATGAAATGCACACGACTGTTCAGCACGAGATTTGAGGTGAGAGGAATACAACAGTGGCGCACGGTATATCTGATGTTGTCCTCACAATGTTGCAGGGGGGTAGACGATGCACCGTTAGACCGCGACGGCGTCCACCCAACGCGAAATCGGGGGCGAAGCATGTAGCCCTTAGATTGGAGCCAAGGTTGTATGTGGACCCATTGTCGCTCTTCAGGTTCTAGGGAAGCGGCATATTGAGCACCTGTCAGCGTAGCATTTAATGGGCGAGGGTGCTCTTTGACGATGTCCTGAATATAAAGCCAGCCAGGCCAAGCGAGATCCTCTACGGGACGCGAGCTAGGTACAGTCGTACCACGACGAAAGAGTGCCGCAATATTGGTCGATAGAAACGGTATGACTGGGCGCGAGAGCGATGAAGAAGAAAGGGGACCCTTCAGGACTACTTCAGACTGGATAGATGTGATGTCGAGACCCAAGGTGGCGACTGATGCTCCGGAGTGGGATCCAGAAGTTTCCCAAGTACCAAAAACAATGAAGACAACAGGTCGAAGTTCAAGACAAGACCCGAGACGAGGCCAGTCTCACGGCGGGATCGCGCCACGTGCTTCCAATCAGCCGAGGGCTCAGTGGCTTCAACGTGTCGACACGGGGAGCGAGACTGGACATAGTTTCAGAGCACCATTGGATTGTCGGAAAGCTGAACGTCCTCGTAATCATGGACTCGAATAAGTGAATTGGACAGCAGTGGATATCTCAAAGAGTGTGAAGGGCTATTTACGAGCCATGGCACGGTTCGTGTTCGAGGAGGTCGAGACACAGTAAGAGTAAGGACCGAAATGAACAACACAGAGCAATATTAACTGCGAAAGCAATAGCAGGACCGGTAGCGACAGCAGAATTCGATAGAGAAGTCGAAAAGCGAGAAAACTGACTAGTGGGAACGGAAAGCAAAAGGGTATGTGCAGAATATGGTGTGAGGAGCCCAAAATATATGACACCAACACCGGAGATTGTAGAAGAGTGAGAATATCCACGTATTACCACTTCAAATTTTGTGCGGCCCAGGCGATTTGTTCAGTATAATGAAGACAGTCGAAGAAGACCCGCTTGAATGAAGACTCTGGTGGATCTTTGCGCTTGTGGAGACGGCCGTGTAGTGCAGTACGCGAGAGCGATCCCTTGATGTTTTTGTAGAGTTCCAATGCTTCTGCAGCAGACGGTCGAGCGTCCGGATCGCGTTGGGTCATCGCATCGAGGAGCGGGTTTAGCATATCGAACGACGTATAAACCTGGAGCCTGCCCTTAGCATGCCGTACGTCGTACGATAAGAATTTAAAGGAGAGAAGCATACCTCCGCCAATGCTCGCTTGTACGTTGTTCCTAGAGTGTAGATGTCGGGTTTGAAAGCGTCATAGGGCCAGAGAGATAGGTCTGCGGTTTCGGGAGCGGCAATACTAGCTTTTGAGTGTACTACAATGCGAGTGCTGTCGGATGGGCCAAACTTGATCGATTCGCCGAAATCGATGAAGTAATACTTCATTCCGCCAACTTGTGTACGCGTTCGAATGTGGCCAAGCGACTTGCCCCGAAGATCGAGTCCGCCGCCGTCGAGGTGAATACCTCGAGGGTACATGCGAGGCGAGTCTCCGACAATGTTAGTGATAGCACAGTCTCTGTAGAAGCTTGTATCGTTTATCGAGCCAACTTGGAGCTGAAACTGGAGCTCACCGATGCGCGATTCGGTTCTCGTGCAGGAACACAAGACCCTGCATTGTTTCTGAGACTCATGACACGTTAACGACGCAGATGAACCACGTACCTCTAGTGTTTGCTCAACGAAGTCCAAGCCCTCCCCAATTGTATCGAGCTCCATGCCGTAGAGAGAGTGACCGAATGGAAAAACCATGAAACACTGGTCCGGAGCATATATAACATCCAGCATGGGCAATGCCGGATTTCGTGGGTCATTCTTGAGGGGCTCAGATGAGAGTATGGTATTAACTTCAAGTTCTGTCTGTCCATTGGCTGGTAATTCAAATCTCTTGAGCACAACAAGACGGCCGTCGCTGATGCGCACTGCGTCCATAATGAGACCGCAAGCATGTTTCTGGATAAATAGATGAACGCATGAATGGGTGGGTGGGGGTATGAAAAGTTAGAACCAATATGAACATTCAATGCAGGATGTCTGGAGAGGTCAAGTAGGGCACCAGCGCACGTTATGTGGGAGACTGTCCTCGCCCAACTTCCGCGTCGTGACCGTTGTACCGTCCAACCACGATGGCGTCCACCCGACGCGAAACCGAGGACGGAGCATGTAACCCTTGGACTGAAGCCAAGGTTGTATATGGGCCCATCGTCGCTCCTCGGGTCCCAAGATGGCGGCATATTGTTGGTATGGCATTGACCATGGTGATGGCATGGGATGCTGTCTGGCGATTTCCTCGAGACCAGGCCACCCAGGCCAAGCGACAGTCTCCGTAGGCTGCTCATGAGTAGCGCGCATTTGACAACGAAGGAGCGTCGCCATGGTCGATAATAACGACATGGATGGACGCAGAGGAGAATTTTTCGAGAGACTATTAGAAGTGGCCCATATAGTGCGAAACAACGTGGGGGAAGACTGGGCTGCCGCGGTCTCACTGCCATCAGATCTTTATATGGCCGGAGCGCTATTACGTAATCATACTGTGAATACCTCCGTACACGGTACTAGTACTTATACGTACATGCCATTTCTCGCGGAACTGCTGAGCGCTGAATATCTGCTGCGTAGCTAGGAACCCAGGGAACCAGTGGGCGATTGTTATTTCCTAACTCCGCAGGCCGTAGCATACAGCAACAGAATAATCCCTGTGCACATCAACCACAGACTTCGAGATTGAACAAAGTCAATGTACTACTTAGTCACTGCCATACATCCTACATACAATGTGATAAGTACAAGGAGGGAAGGTTGAACGCGAGGTACAGGAATGCTACATATACATCGAATGCGTGTAGACGAGACAATGGGAGCACCTTCAGAATGGAGTTATCAGAGGATTCAACCTTCAATTCCACTACTTACTCGAGGCACTGCTTCAGTCAAGCTTCAACTTTGCACTGTTTCGCTCAGGCCGGAGCGACCTTCGAGAAAGGTTCAACCAATTTCAACCGCTCAAGGGCTTCTCGGAATGTTTCCCCAGACTGATCTGAGCTTTGAACCGCAATTCCATTCCGAAGGACATCAACGACAATGTCGATAGCCAGGGCGCGGCTCTGGGAGCGAAATGTGAGCATTTGAACTTGAAGGCGTTCTTAGTACTACGAGTACGTGGATAGGTGAGTACTTACTTCTTCGTATTCGGAAGAAAGCTGCAAACCGGCATCAGCGATTGCATTTCGGAATCTCTGTAAGGAAAGATGATATGCATCAGAGATATTCAGTTAACAGGTTATCAAGCACTGACCTGTCTGTCGAGTTCAGCAGCAGAATTCTCTGTCTCCACATGGCTAAGATAGTTGGCTGACCGTTCCCTTTCTCGCGCTGCAGACTCAGATGCCGTCATATCGCCCCGAGCATGTGCCAGCGCAATTTCAGTGCGATGCGCAACGTTTTGCGCCTCTAGTTTGAGCTTGGTAGAGGACGTAATCGATTGCTATGTTTTCAAGTCAGTTCTAAACCATACGAGCGAGCGAGGATATAAGATAGCAGGTAATTCACAGAGATACCAGTTTGTACGGTGTTGGACCACTTTTTGATATCCTTGACTTTCTCGCGACGAGGAATATACTTGAAGAACTTCTCCCACTTTCCAAGACCCTTAGACCAAGTATTGAACTCCTCCCACTGTTGAATCAACCCTGGCCTACTGTTAGCGTGTGTAGAGTATCATCATTTCGTAGTACAGCTCACCTGATGGCATCGGCTTCTATTTGAAGGCGCACTTCGTCAGTTTGAAACTCGTTGAGCTCCTGAACTTGATTGACGAGAGCCGGAAAGGCTTTAAAGGATCTTGCTAGAACCTTGACACGGTGGGCATTTGTCTCTTCCTTGGCGAGATTGACAGCAATGACTACCAGATGGCCGAGAACGGATACCGACGCTTCTGCCATAGAGTAGAGAATAAGTGTGGTGGAGTCAAAGCCTTGGAGTAAGTATGAGGGTTGAGTACGAGAGCCTGATGATGGGTCCTGCAACGACGATCGAGTTGGATTAAATACACAACAAGATGCCGTCTACAGCAGGGTGCACCAGATCAGGCTACAAGGGCAGTCGAGTGTGCCAGCAGCGGGTCACGATAGCATGTGAACGAGAAGTTGACGGGTCAAATGATGGACCCATATGAGTCCACAAGTCCTTGCGTGGGAGGACCATCATTTGTAGATCACTTACAGAGAAACCGCACTAGTGTTGAGGCTATTCAGGTCAGTCGTCGTACGGAGAGTGCGTAATACTTCCGTTGAGTGTCTCCGGAAGCGGATGAACTTTAGGGGGATGAACTTCCCATCCAGTATCGCCTTCTGTTGGATCAGTACTCGACTTCATGGTGCAAGATCGACAAAACCCGATTCCATACTGGCTCCAATGCAGCCTACCTAAAATGTGTATCCTTTTCAATATGTACGCACTGGAATGCCAGACCCGAATGCCAGATTCAATTTGAATGGATTTCTGAAATCATAGCTCGTACCCCTGCATCATTGATTTACCACCATCGAAGAGCCACAGAAAATGAGGAGCCTCCGTCAAGGACCAGTGCGCGGGAGAAACAATTGCGTGTGTAAATCGCCGCGGCAGGTCATCGATTTTGCATACAGATCCCTGGATGAGCGCGCCATCCTCTCGCATCAAGAGGTTGTGACTGGGGTGGGAGCCCAATTAGTTTGCTTTCGACGACAACCAGGACCCGGTCACACCGCAGCTTGATGGGAGTGGCGATAGAAGATGGAAGGAGAATTCTTCTGGACTTTTCGACGACAACCAGGGCCCGGTCACACAGCAGCTTGAGGGTGATGAAAGATGGAAGGATCGTGCTTCTTCACGAGAACAAATAGGGGCTGCGTACCCGTACTATGGTGCAACGGATGAGGAATTCCGTTCGGCTAAAAATGCAATACTCGTTGATGGTCGTGAGGACTATGTGTTCTTCGACGGTGGGTGTTTGTGGGTGCATATGGATCCGTTCATTTGCATGTGGGGCTCAGTGAGCCGTGAATCTTCGTCAACTCGAGCGCCACTACTAGTCCAGAAGTGGCCAGTGGCTACACAGCGACCGGCGCAAGTCTGAGTACTGGTCGGAGTCAAGGCGCAACATAGGAGAACTCACCGACGTAAGTAGTACCAAGATGGAAACAAACGTACTTCGTCTCCCCAATCTGCGCCACAAATTAAAGTTCCTTCGACACGAGACTGAACGTACAACATTAGTCCGAGCAACGACTTATTCAGCCAGGCTACGAGCCTGCCTGTTCTCAGCATTGCAAGTGGCAAAACTGTCGCTTGTTCCCAAAAGCAGCTGATGCAGTTGATATTAGCGCAGTATGCCCGGGGAGCTATCAAGATCCTTCCCGAATGATGCTTCATTTATTGTGCAGTTATTGACAATCGAGGCTTCATCATTCACTATAGCCTATCGAAAGAGCTTTAGAGCACCCGTGAAGCCGAGACCGTAGACCTCCGAAAGTGTGAATAAGAGAATTGTGAGACTATATATAGGAAGCTTGCCACCAACCCAGTGTAGGGAAAGGAGACCTGTCGCGGTCGTAATATGCCGTGAAGTTCAAGACAGCTCGAGTTCTGCAGGACTCTAAGCATGAGCTGTTTTCTCTGTAACATTGTGGATCATGACGAGTGGACGGTCGATGAGGGAGCAGTACAAGAGGGTAGTTATGCGAACATGGTACGACGTACCCAGAAATAGGACGTCGCTGTCAAAATTGAGAGAGTGGAAATGCCTCTCTGTCACCATTTCCAGTTCTGTATGGCCCAAGCGATCTGTTCCGAGTAGTGGAGGCAATCGAGGAAAATCCGTTCGAAGGAAGATTCTGGGTGCTCTCTGCGGTCATGGACACGCCCATGCAAAGCGGTGCGCGAAAAGGATATATTAATGGTGTTGAAGAGGTTGAGTGCCTCTACGGCAGAAGGCCGAATATCTGGATCGACTTGGGTCATTGCATCGAAGAGAGGAAGAAGTGCGTCGAAAGAGGAGTAAGGCTTGCAAGATTCATCAGTGACACGGATAAGGAACGCCATGAGACCAGTACCTTAGCAATCCTTTGTGTGTAAGTTACACCCAAGGTAAAGATATCAGGTTTAAAGGCATCGTAAGGCAATAAAACATCGTCTGTCGTCTCTGGCGCAAAAATGCTCGCTTTGGAATGAATGGTGATGCGCGTATTGTCCAATGGGCCGAACTTGATGGACTCGCCAAAATCGATGTAGTAGTACTTGACGCCACCGACCTGGGTGCGCGTTCGGACGTGGCTGATGCATTTGCCTCGACCATTCAATCGATGATCGTCCACGTGTATTCCGTGGGGGTACATACGAGATGGGTCCATCAGAAGATTCGCTATGGAACAGTCCCTATTGCTATCGAGTTCGATGTTGAAACATGATCATGCACTGTCATCGAAACTCACCTGTGAGCTATTCGTTTCTCGTGCAGAAATACGAGGCCCTATTTCGAGACGTGAGGCTCGACTGGTCCGCCACAGGTATGATGGACTATACGCACCTGCAACGTCTGTTCAATGAAATCCAAGCCTTCCCCGACAGTAGCAGGACAGAAGTCGAAGATTTCCTTGCCTACAGGGAATACCATAAAGCATTGGTTGGGAGCATGGATAACTTCGAGCATTGGAAGCGCTGGATTCCGCGGGTCGTCCCTCAGCGGTTCGGAGGACAATATTGTATTGACTTCGAGTTCGTTGCGGCCATTGGCCGGCAGCTCAAATCTCTTGAGAGCGACATGACGCTCATCGCTTATACGGAACGCGTCCATGACATGACTACAACCAGGATACTAGGTGATATGCCGGTGAGCAGATATTGCAAAACAAAGCGATCGGGACGACGTACGTTGTGCGGCACGCTATCATCATGCTTGGGCAAATCGTCCTTCGTCGCACTTTCTGACCAGGACGGTCTCCAGCCGGGACGAAATCGAGGGCGTGACATGTAACCCTTGGACTCTAGCCACGGTTGAACATGCACCCATTGACGTTCTTCAGGATCGAGGATAGACGCTCTCTGGACAGAAGACAGGGAGCCGTGCTCGTCAGAAGGCAAGTCAGCGTGTTGGGCTTCTGCATCGGCAATATCTAGCCAGCCAGGCCAAGGAACATCCTGTGTTGCGGTAGGATAAGAGCGCACACGACAAGACATAGGTAAGATGCGCATGACGACCTTGGAAAATTCGGAGAGTACGAAGACGTAGAGGATATCCGCTGGCAAACGAGTCTCCAGTCCAGAATTGGCTTGATGCCTAGAACGAATTGTCCTAACACTTCAGGTTAGAGATTCACAGATTTCACAAGTATACCAAAACAATAAGCAGGGCAAAAGCAAGGTGTGAGGGAAACGGTGAAGAGAATTCGAAGAGCCGAGGACTCGGGACATTGACAGTCTCAGGCTCACTGGGCCACGTGCTGTAACTGAGCGCGACTCCTCGGAGCACAAGTCCTCTGCAGAAACCTCTACACAACCACAATGGCCACCATCGGTCGAAACTGGTATCGCTATATGGTGCGTCTTGCTTTATTGACGCAATACAACTTCTTCTGACATGACGTATCTTATTGTCTTCTCTGCGTCTGACCTATGGCCTTCCCTTGTCCAATAAATTCGTCTGGACGAACAGCAACGGCAAGCCCACGAGAAGCCCGTCATCTTTTACTCGATTGTCATTGGTCTTGCTGGTCCTCTGATGGTACCCACCGTCCCAGCCATCCGCGCGAAGTTTGGTTACAAGCGCCCAGAGCCCATTCCTCTCGCATATCCCAGTGAGTCTTTCTGTCATACCGTCCTCGCTACCCTCCTTTTCTCGCCGTGCCTACTCCATTCAACACCCTATTATGCAACAACAACTTTATGCTCAACATCATCACTCCTCGGCTTCATGCTAGTTCCCCAGCGGCCACGGAGAGAAGTGAAGGGGTATGATGATGAGCCTTAGAGCGACCATGTGATGTCCATATCGTTGTTCGAATGCAACTTGTGCGGAAGTTCAACCTGTGGAGATTGATTGTTTCGAGCGTACTATGTTCACCGGTGCGTTTTCACGGAGAACTTCATACTCGCTCCTGCTACCCGGTGCTCTTGAACCTCTATGAGGTAATCTCGTTATGTGACTTGCCCTGGAGATATATCAGCATTGTGGGGCCTCATAGTAGCTCGTCGCCGCGACCAGCATCTCCCAATTCATCTTATCTAACAAGGCTTCGACCTGTTTCGTCGACATGGCATTTGCGACACACTCTGCCCTCGCGAATGCATCTCAATACATCTCCTCATCTCGCCATAGCTTTCATGATTAGGCCTCGCCACCTCAATCGTAACAATAACATCAGTTTACGCATTCCTTCTGCTTCACATGCATACACGTTATCCCGTCTTGGCCTTCCGGAAAACCTGAGATCCCCTTCTGCGATCTTTTGCAAATTCCGAGTCGTAGTACTATCCAAGACAATTGATCCAACTGCGATGAATGACCACCTGTCCCTGGTGGTCATTGGCTTATCGCTACCGTCCGTGTTTCCGTGGAGTTAAAACCTATGATGAGGGCATATCGGCATCGCTCACGTCGGCGTTGATGTTCCCAGACAATTGCACTTGAAAACACCTCTCTGGGCTATTTGCCATAGGAAAAAGAACCGTCCGACCCGCCTCAAAATCCACCCTGAACACCGAGGACATAATATACCTCCGTGAGCGTGTTTTTTTTGTTTGGCTTTTTGTCTGTTGCGGTCCGTCCCGCGTGCAAGTACGTTATGCGGCGTTTGCCGCGCGAACCGTTGATTGAAGATGCCGGTTGTGGGACGTTTGGAAGACCATCACTCCTTCATAGGTCCACTAAACATCCTGCCCCTATTAGCCATAAGTCGAGTGGGCTCAACACTCCGATAGAATTGTACTGCAGCCACTGAGCTGCCACTCTCGTTGTACTTACGCTCCTTACCTTACTGAGGTCCGCGTCAGCATGCACATTCTTCCTGCGACTCATTCGAGAGCCTCGCGCCGCAGTCGGAAGGAGGACGTTCCATGGCCAGGCTGGCTGTCTACCGCGGATATTGAGAACGAACACCCCCGGTTGACGAACGACGAGTATCTCTCCCTCTCTCCAGCTCAGCAAGAGGCCATCCTCCGTCCTGCAGAACGACAGTGGATCCATGTGCAACCGTGGCTGGAGTCGAACGGGTACTTGTTGCGCCCTCGGTTTCGTCCTGGCTGGAAACCATCATGGTCAGAGGGTGCGACGCGGTCCGAGTTGAACAAACGAGAAGATGCCGTGCAACATTATGTGTGTTAATTCAGCCGCTCAGTTTCCGAGACTCTCCCAACGATGTGCTGCACAGTTTCCTGGCTGTGATTATGTTATGGACGCAACTCGGACTCGTGACGGGCGCCACGTTGTATGGAAGAGGTTCGAACTACCTGCCAATGGTCGCAACGAACTGGAAATCAACACAATGTTACCCTCCGAACCATTGCGGGATGACCCGGGAAACCCGGTGCTTCCTCTGCTAGAAGTCATCAATGCGCCCGACCAGTTCTTCATGATATTCCCTGTGGGCAAGGCTCATCAGATTTCGGCCCGCGACTGTCGGAGAAGGCTTAGACTTTGTTGAACAGACGTTGCAGGTACGTGTAGTCTATCTTCGTTGTGGCGGACCAGTCGAGTCTCACGTGTTGATGTAGGGCCTTGTGTTTCTGCACGAGAAACGGGAAGCTCACAGGTAAGTAATAAAGGTGTTGACAACTCTTGAGCCCATCTCAGTAGTTTAACTGAGAGAAACCAGGGATTGTGCTATAACCAATCTCGTAATGGATCCAGCTCGGATGTACCCACACGGTGTACACTTTGACAACTCGTTTTTTGACAGCAGGAGAAAACGTCTCGGTCACGTTCGAACGCGTACACAATTTGGCGGGGTCAAGTACTACTACATCGACTTCGGCGAGTCCATCAGGTTTGGTCCTTCGGATAGCACTCGCATCACTGTCGAGTCCAAAGCCAGCATCTTCGCGCCAGAGACGGGGAATCCGAGTTTATGGCCTTACGATACGTTCAAACCTGATATCTTTAACTTGGGTACGGCATACAGGCAAAATCTTGTCGAGGTAATGGCTTCGTGTCTTCTGTTGTTGATACCACCGACGATTTGCCGCAGCCGTTCTCATCTTTCGACGCAATTACCCCTCTCCTCGATGCGATGACTCAACGCGATCCGGACGCTCGGCCGTCCGCTGCAGACGCGCTCAAACTCTTCGAAACAATCAAGGCATCCTTTTCGCGCACCGCTCTTCATGGTCGTGTCCATAGCCGCAGAGAGGAACCGGAATCCTCGTTCAAGCGGGTCTTCCACGACTGTCTGCACTATGCTGAACAGATCGCTTGGGCGATACAGAACTGGAAGTGGTGATACAGAGGCTTCTTCACTCTTCTACCCGTTGCATGAGGTTTATTCTATCGGTCCATTACACTGTATCTTCACAGTTGCTCCTTTGGACTCAGCTCGTTGTTTTGAAAACTTGTTGTCAATTCTATTACTAGTTACAGTTACCTCGCGCGGACTGTGACAATTGTACCAATATGTCTCACGCAACTGAAAATAAAGTTACGACACTCTTTCAATATACACATATCGCAAATTTGTTCACCGTGCTGGAATACAACTGGGCTTGGCCGCGCTTTCGGAAGAGGAACGATTTGAGCGCCCATCAGACCTCGTGGGCACCAGCCAATTTCGCTGACGTCAGCGAAATTGGCTGGTGCGTACTTCTCATGCAGAAAATGGCCATCCCTGTTTGGTGAAATTCGTTCTCATAGATTATTTTCTAATTGAATTTACACGAATTTAGATACCCTTGATATCCTGTCAGGATGAAATGCGGGTGAGCAATGAATGTCGGTGAACCGGCCAATTTGGCCAAGACGTGCGCCAATTGGCTGGTGCCCACGAGGTCTATCATCGGAGAAAATCGGAGCGGACACGTGGTCGTGGTTTTGGATTGTGGCGAGCCGAACGGTCGAGTCAGCACCTTTCACCAAACTCCCTGGGACCGTTTTCTTGGGTCGTTTGCCTCCCTAGATCCTTGGCACATCGTCGATATCAAGCAATTAACCACTAAGAATCATCTCTTTCTGACTTGAAATCTCAGGAAAATAAGACCCAGGTTTTCTTTGACCTCCCTCGGGACGTTCCTCGTCCTCCGGCGACCCCTCCGAGTCGTGTGACGGTGCCACACACTTGGACTTAGACAAAAATACTCTCACATCGGTCAAAAGAGTTTTCTGAGCACTGTGGTTCTAAATAAATATGGCGCCCCTAAAACTGGCCGTTGTCGGTGGTGGCCCTTCGTCTTTCTATGTTGCTTCTCGACTGCTGTCTCTACTGCCACAAACGAGCGTACGAGGCGAAAATCTGCGCGTTCATATGTATGACCGATTGTGGGCACCACACGGGCTAGTTCGTTATGGTGTCGCGCCAGATCATCCTGAAGTTAAGGTAAGGATTTTTTTTGTTTCCTCTCCTTGCATCATATTGTAACAAGGAATATATAATGCTAACGACCAACATTGTAGAACTGCACCCATAAATTCGACCAGGCCGCCATGGACCCTCGTTTTCGATTCTTCGGGAACATACACGTCGGTGCTCGGCCGTCAACCATCATCCCCCACGCACGCTCCATCTCTCTATCTTCACTAGCGCCACATTACACCCACCTCCTCTTCGCCACAGGATGCACCGTCCCGACCTTCCATCCCGCCCTCCCCGCATCCGATCTAGTCGTACCCGCGCTCTCATTCGTACATTGGTATACTCAACATCCGTCGCGACCACGGATACCTTCACTAGAAAAAATAGAGCACGTCACGCTCATAGGACAGGGAAACGTCTCGCTGGACGTTGCGCGGATTTTGCTCACTTCGCCTTCCGTTCTGGAGAAATACGACGTCCCGGAGACCGTACTCGAAATTCTACGACGGTCTGCCGTAAAACATGTGTCCATTGTTGGGCGCAGGGGTCCGCTTGAAGCTGCATTCACCGTGAAGGAGTTGCGCGAGATGATGAATCTTTCGGAAGCGTCTATGGTCCCTCTGGATCCGTCGCTCCTCGAACCTCCACCGGACACCAAACTTAATCGACAACAGACTCGGACGCTGCAATTGTTACGCAAAGGATCAGTTAATGAACACGGGAAAACACCAAAAACTTGGTCCCTCGACTTCTTCCGCTCCCCAACCGGCCTCGCACCTCCCTCTCCAAGTTCACCTGCCGCAAACCTTACCCTCGCACATACTTCTCTCGACTCATCCAACCACGCCATTCCCACCGGTCAAACATCCACTCTCGCCACAAATCTGGTCGTCACATCCTTAGGACACCGTTCTGACCCGACACAAGAGTTCTACGACCCCGCGCTCGCACATCTGCGTACTCTGAGTGGTAGGGTTGTTAGTGCGGAAGGACACGTTGTCAGGAATGTGTATGCGAGCGGGTGGGCTGCGATGGGTGCGAAGGGGGTTTTGGCTTCGACTATGATGGATGCTTATGCGGTGGCGGATACGATTCTTTCGGATCAGTTTCCTGATGCCGCGGAGGGAGAGGGAGTGCAGACTACACACGCACCTGCGAGAGGGGCGGAGGGTGTTTTGGAGGATGCGGTGGAGGGGCTGGGTCTGGGCAAGGACGTGGATTTGGAGAATGTGCCGGAAGAGGTAGAGAGGGGCGTTATGGAGGGTGAGGTGACGCAGTATGGGGACTGGAAGAGGGTGGACGAAGAAGAGGTGAGGAGAGGAGAGGTGTTGGGGAAAGAGAGGGAGAGAATGGGGTGGGAGGAGGCGAGGGAATTTTTGCGGAAGGCTTGATTGTGTGGTGTTTCATCTATTCATTGTTTAATCTATCCATTAGCATCCACCACTCCGATATATCATCACTCCTCCTCTCATTGCGAGCAGTGAAGTTCTTGGGCCACAGTAGTCCGAAATAAGTACGAAATCGGGTATTCTTGCCGCGGCCAGCTCGTGGCTTCCGTCAATAGAGTACTGTAGTTTTTCGACCGTAGGTTCGTGGGAAGATGATGTCAGACGTGACCTTCGCCAGACCACGGTTCGTTTGGGCGGACCACGCGTGACGAACCAATGAAATTGTTCACGGTACGTCCTAAAAATTGATTTCTGCTCGATTTTGGTGGAAATCGGTCACGATTTGCTGTTCGTGGACCCGCGTATATGCGTGACCATCAGGTCAAATATGTTCGCCGGCGCACCCTGCGTGATGCGTGACGAACATATGGTCGAAAAACTACAGTAATCGCTCCAACGGTTCTCTACAACTAAACGCACAACGATGTCCTCTTCACCCTTTGCTTATGGTGACTCGTACCAGCGATCTCGCCACATCAAATCGTTGTCTGTTTGGGGATTTGATAAGATTATGAGTTGATCAAGCAGGCACAGTCTGTTGTAGCGGCGAGGGTCGGGCCGAGGCTCGTAACTTATCGCAGTAATAGGCTCTCCCTCTAACAGTCACGACAGCCAGCCGACTCGGTACTCTTCAGCCCAGACTTGAGCGAGAGGACGGCGTGCAGGTGCACTCGAGGTCGGTGTAACTCTTCTTATATTATTTCTTGGGAATGTGCTCGACTTGAGAGTCTCATGGCACCAGCACAAAGTAGGCGGAAGGTCTCCTATGTCATACCTCCTCCGACAGAGCCCGTCCCGCGTCTCCAGCTTCCCCCACACGGTCTCCCTAGACATGGTTCTGTTTTGCCTCTCATTCGACCTTCATCGTCTTCGGAACCAACATCTCCTGTGAGCCCGAGATGGACACATAATTCACGACATCGACTGGGCGTGGCTTGTCTTGCACTCGATACTTCTACTCATCTCGTTGGCAAGTCGGCGCCCGAGGGCATACTCTATACAGGCGGTCGTGATGGGCTCGTAATCTCTTGGGACTTGGGGCTGCCTATGAAGCATAGGTCCGTGAGGAAGGATATGGCCACTCTCGCAGCTAGCGGGTCGCAGATGTCGGTTGGGCATTGGGAAAGGATGACCGGGTGGGGAGACGATGTGATTGACGAAGAGCTGGAGGAGGGAGAGGACGGACCAAGGAGTGATGGTGATATTCTGGGAGAGGTTAAGGGCAGCGGAAGGCGGAGACGACGGAGTGTAAATACGGACGCCCCTATACCCTTCGAGCACCAGTGGGAAACCGACCTGGATGCATTCGAGCCTGGCAAGGTGTGTTTAGTCCCTCTCATCTTTAATTACATTCACACCTCAAACCTTTTCACATGTGCTATATAGCCGTCACAATTCCGACAATCTACACAAGTACACACCGACTGGGTAAACGATATACTTCTGTGTAATCACAATCAGACCGGTATGTACGTGCTTTATCATACTCGTGGAGAGTATGTGTTTATTAGACGCCTCGTAGTCGTATCCGCATCTTCCGATGGCTCTGTCAAGGCTTGGAATCCACACTCCTCACCGCTGTCCGACCCAACTACCGTTGGTATACATCAAGATTACGTTCGGTGCCTTGGCCAAAGGTACGCAGTCATCCGCAAAGCACTTGGTGTCGCTTGAGGTCAACCCACTAGGCCATACATGGAATATCTTCAGACTTGGACCATTCGCTATTGCTCCCATTTGATTTGTTATGTTGCCCAAATTGTTTGACAAGTATGTGTTGCGTTGGGCCACACTACATCATGAGCGTAGTAAACTCACGAATACTGGGACATGGCCTCAAGCGCACCATTCTATCTCTCTTGCGATTAAATTGTGCTGATATCTATGCCAGTCGAGAACAAAATTGGGTTGCCTCCGGCTCCTTTGATCGCACCATCAAGCTCTGGGACCTCGGTCGCACGTCCTCGGAACCTATCGTCACTCTGAATGCCGCTGATTCTACTGGCCCAAAGTCTTCGATATACGCCATGGCCGTAGATCCTTTTGGCCATACAATCGTTTCTGGAGGTCCCGAGCGTGTCATTCGACTATGGGACCCACGAGCTGGTAAAAGGATAGGCAAGCTTGTCGGACACACGGACAACATCCGGTCTATACTTGTTTCCGAGGACTCAAGATATGTACGTTAACTCACCTTCTTGTTTTAAAAAGCTTATTCTAATCTTCTCTTCAGTTGCTGACGGCGTCCGCCGATGGTGTGTACCTCGACGTTTACATCTTATCATAAAAACTAATTTTAATATAGCGTCGATCAAACTCTGGTCTCTTGCCTCACAACGATGTCTACACACCTTCACTCACCACACCGACTCCGTATGGTCCCTACACTCCTCCCACCCATCCCTCGAAGTCTTCTATTCCGGCGACAGATCCGGCTTCGTTTCTAAAGTCGACGTCGAAGGCTGCACAGACATGTCCGAGGGCGAATGCGTCCTCCTCTGTCAAGATACCAACGACCACGGTAGCGTCTCGGAGGGAGTCAGCAAGATCATCGCTGTGGACGATAATCTGCTATGGACAGCCTCCGGGAACCCGAGTCTTAAACGGTGGCGTGTGCCACAGCGAAGATCGGTCAGAGCTGCTGCGTTGGCTGTCAGTGAAGTTTCAGAGGATATGGGACCACCGGAGTCTCCGTTCGTCTCCTCGTCTTTCAAGCGCAAGTCGAGAAGTATCGACACCTATCGCTCAAGACCGAAATCAATGACGGCTGATTATCCGGCCACAGCATCTGCCCCTCGTATCCCTCGTCACTCAAACTCCCTGGGCACGACATTATCGACCGCGGACGATAGCTCGATGTTCGCGGGTCATGAAGGGGAGGCGACGTGGTACGGTATTCCGTTCGAGAGCCTTGTGAGGTTGACGTCGCCACACGATCCATTCTCTTCGTTCTCGCCGATTGGGAGAGGACGAGACGCGGACGTCGCGACGCTCTATTCTGCCGCTTCGATTGTCTCGGTCCCGGGTCCTCGAACGTCACTAGCTCGATCACCACTCCAATCTGTATTCCCGGGCGCACAACTGACGCATACCCCGTCCTCGTCACAATCGCATGGAACGAATCGCGAGAGCAGTCCCGTGCACAGTATCGATCTCGTCACATCACCACGGGCGGACGAGACGTTGCATCCTGCGCATAATGCACGAGTGGAGTACGAAGAGCGGGAAGTCGTGGCTGATGCTGTACCGCTGCAGAGCACGCCTGACGAGATCATAGAGGGCGAACATGGGCTCATCAGAGCTATCATCCTCAACGATCGAATACACGCCTTGACAGTCGACACCGCGTCCTCCGTAGCCATCTGGGACCTCATCCGTGGCGTATGTCTCGGGAAATTCCCGTGTAGCGATGTCGCGGCGGCGAGTTTGAACGGCAGTACGAGGACCGGTCCTGGGAGTGCTAGTGCGGCAAGTGGAAGCGGGAGTGGAGGTGGGGCGAGTAGTGGGAGGGAGAGGAGTCCGAGGGAGGCGTTGGAGATTGTGAGGGAGAGGGTCGAGGGAGAGGCGGTTGTTATGCCGTGGAGTACGGTGGATACGAAGATTGGAGTGTTGAGTGTGCATTTGACGGAGAGGTGCTTTGAGGCGGAGGTTTATGCGGATGAGGTCAATTGGGGCGAGAAGGGAGGTGGGGAGGAGCATCGACGTGAGTAATATTTTTTTCTTGCCGAGTTGCATTTCTAACTTGAACTTTTTTGATGTTTAGTGAATATCGGCAAGTGGGTTCTTCGGAACCTGTTCTTAGGTTTTATTCGAGAGCAGCAGAGAGCCTACGCACGTCGTGTACGAGGCCACGACGCAGGCGTACACCCTATGCAACGCACATCCCATTCAAACCACGTCCACGACCCAGACTCTATACCCGGAACTCCCAGAAGACGATCGTCCACCTCGACCACTTCAAGTTCTTCCATCTCCCGCCGCCTATCCTATCCACCCTCCCACGCCTCCATCGTGTCTTCCCCATCCCTCATCCCAGCCGTCTCACCCCTCATAACCTCCTCCGCCTCCGCAAACCCTCTCAAACCTACACTCTCACCACTCATAACACCTAAAATACCCCTACATCATAATCACCACAGCGCGCTTACACCTATCGCTCAGAGTCCTGGAAGTGAGATTACTCCTGGCCCGGGAGTGACTATCACGAGTCCTACTGGAAGACATTCAAGGGCGTATACTGATACAAGTGCGACACCGCACCCCACTCATCCACATGCGGGCGATTATTTCTCCATGACCGTGAGACGACCTTCGGTCTCTTCAGGATTGCAGACACACTCGCAGACGCAGTTAATGTCCACGTCGGCGTCCGACGAACATGTGAGCTGGGGTCCTGGGGTGCCGAATCCAAATCATGCTACTGCTCCCGCGGTCCCGAACCCGAAGGAGATGGGAGTGGCGAGGGATAAGGAGAAGGAGAGGGATGTGAACCAGCCTTTGACGCCGAACAAGGATGGGGGTGGATTGATGGGGAGGTTGAAGAGTTTGGGAAAGAGGAGGCCGGCGAGTGAGCATGGGAATAGGGAGGCTAAGGTGGTCAATGCGGAGTTGGCGGCAGCGAAGGAGGCGACGGTGTGTCCGAATTGTGGTGCTCTTTCTTCCCCCTGAGTTTGCTGACAACGTTTTTTATTTTCATATTATCTCTGTAGGAGAGTGCACCACCTGTATCGACTACCCAGTCTCCAGTACAAGCCCTCCTCGCTGGTACAATCACCCCGCCCACCTCTGCAGAAGCCCCAACACTACCTCTGAACGGATCCATACAGATCTTCATAGCCGAGGAAGGGCCTCCCGGCTGGACCGTCACTTATCGCGGTACAGTGTCGAGTACGGGCGCAGACGTGCACACTCTGGAGGAAGCATTGCCGATGTGGTTGTTGGAGTATCTATTGGTGAACAAGGCGCCAGTCGTGCCGATCACGAAAATTGGCTTTGTTTTGTTACCGTATCAGAGTAAGGAGCCAGATGCGGAGCAGTTGCCTGAGTTGTTGAACACGTGAGTTGTGAGATATGCTTGACTTTGTGAACATTGCGACTGACGAATGGACTGTTTTGACTGTAGGTCTCAGTCGAAACTTACTGCGAGTCGGTTCTTAAGGGTGCGGAAGCTGACGTCTCATGTACGTCTACCTCTCCATTGCTTCCTTGCCTACCCTCTCTTCTGGTCTCTGACCCCTTTGGATCACAGGTTCAAGACAAGATCGATAAAATGGCAAACCACCTAAACACGCCGTCACCCACCGCTCGGATCTCCCCTCGCTCCTCAAGTGACACCCACCACTCCTCATCCTCCAACGGAAACACACTCAAAGACAGAGAACGCGAACGGTCTCACGATTCAGGTCGTCCGAGACCCGAGGAGACGTGGGAGATTTTGTGTAATGAAACGGTGTTGCCGTTGGATATGACGCTTGCGGCCGTGAAGCAGTTCGTGTGGAAGCAGTCAGGGGAATTGACGATGCACTACAGGCGGAGGAGGGCGTGATTGGACTTGTATTGGGTTCCGGCTAGCTGGGGTGAATGAGAAGGATGGTAGTGAAAAAGGACGCTCTTACAATTTACTTGTTATCTGTGGGACGGGTACGATTTTTTCGTTCGCAGGTGCGGTTGTGGCGCCGGGCGCACTGACTGACTGAGCTTGGTTTATTTGTACGCTTGGTGTTTGTTCTTTTAGATCTGGCTTTTGCTGTAGCATACGTTCAATGAGTTCTAATAGATGTTATGCGCTGTCTGAATTTCAAGGAGTTTTCCGGCTAAGTATGCGATCCGTGCTGTAACTCGAAAGGGCATGACGGAAGGAGGCCGACGCGACGCGTCTTTCGCGGACTTACGCTTCGTCATTGGGTCTTCCGGTTCCTCTATCCCGAACCACAGAGAACATTCGTAACTTACAGCAAGTATAAAGTCTGGGACTGCTAGGACACGCTATATATTCTCTTTGTTTTGTCTACAACTAGTACACAACGCGCTATGCTCCCTCGACTATCCCGTACTTTGCGTGCGACACCTTTACATCTTCTCCGTAGAGGATTTCTTTCGTCTTCAGCCCCTCTCGTACGGACCCGACCGATAAGTGCACACAAATACACGCCCATCTCGTCACCACGACACTTTTCGTCATACCTACCTCGGCAAGCACGCTATAATCGCTTTGGAGACTCGGGAGGACAATCCGGAGGAGGTCCAGGATTCCAGTCTTCGCCGAACACTGCACAGACTGTGGTGATTGGGATGTCTATACTCGCGGGTACATACTATGTCGCACAGTGCGCTCAATACTTTGTTTGAGTGCTGGCTGTACAACTTACGCCTGCTCTACAGTCTAGAGCGCGTTCCGGAGACAGGTCGATGGAGGTTCATGGATATTAGCCCAAAGTATGAAGCATCCGTGCGTTTTCCAGCCATCCAGACTCTTGTCCTTCTCAAATATGTGTGACTGATGCCTGAATCCGGAACTAGCTAGCAGAAGCCACCAACCAACAAGTCCTACAAGAATTTAAAGGTCGCATGCTCCCTCCAAATCACCCTCTCACTCGCCACATCCGAAATGTTGTCTCCAGAATCCTCGAAGCAAATCATCTCGGCTCCCTAGCAGACACACCACGGGTCGCACCTCCATCAGCCATGGAAGTGCTTTTTGGCATGGGTAATCCTCCGGACGGTGCTTGGGACCCGGATGCAACGCCACATCCTCGAGAGGGCCAGGCAAGTGGAGAAGGATCGGCGATTGGACCTAATAGGAGATGGAACCTGGTGGTGGTGAAAGATGATAAGATGGTTAACGCGATGGCGACGCCTGGTAAGCCTTACAAACCTTCTCTATGACTTTGAACCTTTGAACCAAGCGGTGATTTAGGGACTATCATCGTGTTCACCGGCATCCTCCCCGTCTGCAGAGACGAACAGGGACTTGCCGCTGTTCTTGGTCACGGTCAGTATCCTACCTTGCCTCTCGTTCTTGACGATAGCCTCGTTCACTCATCCATATATTATAGAGATTGCTCACGTAGGTACGCCAGATCGTCACAAATGATGTGGATTTGACATCTGAGATGAGCCTGTTGCGTACAGTCGCGCGACATAGCGCCGAAAGCTACTCATATGGCAAAGTCCTGATTTTCATGGCCTTATTACTCGATTCTCTGAGCATCTATGGTGGGTTCTCTGCGTTGCTGAGGACGTTCCTCCTGGAGCTTCCACGGTCGCGCAAACAGGAGCTTGAAGGTAAGCGGATACATCTTACATCTGCACGTCAACAATATCAATAATTTTCTTGCTCGACTTTGCCCATGAACCTGAACACTGTGATAGCGGACACGATTGGCCTGCGACTGAGTGCGAAAGCCTGCTATGACCCGACCGCTGCTCCAAGGTAAGCCCCCAATTCGACCATCCCATTCATACAACCATATCGCAACCATCTTCGCTAAGCCTAGTAGCTGACTGTCGTCATCTTGTTGCTATAGCATGTTCGCGCGTCTCGCCGAACTAGAAAAGAGGCAGAGCGGTAGCCTGAGCATCGATTTCCTGCAGACTCACCCTGCATCGGACAAACGGGTCAAGGTTCGTGGACAGAATCCTTCCTCAATCGCGTCAAATGCATACTCATACTCATACTGACGTGTGGTTGTTTTTGGTTTGCAATAGTTGCTCGAAGCCCAGCTACCAGAGGCGTTCGACTTACAAGCTCGGAGCTCGGAGTGTGCTGGCGTAGCGGATAAGCTGGCTGCATTTAGAGATTCATTTAGCGGTAGTAGTCAAGGAGGAGCTGTCTGGTAGAACTCTGGACTCTACCTCAGGCTTGGCTTGAGTGATCCTAACACTACTTTAACTGATATGCGTTTAAATTGAAGACGTTGGAATGGCACTCGGGTTATCTATTGTACCCACCACAGACTCACGCACATTGTACTTCACTCTACCAGTACCGATCTCTGCTCATCTCATTCTACTCGAATTCGATGTGTCTGAGACTGTCTCAGACAGGATATGGGCCACATTGAACCGAACTGCGAGTTGGGCCACATAATCACGGTCAAGTGACCTCCATGACTCGGATGCTCTTCAGAACTTCACCGACCTTGACTCTCCGGATTTCTCGATATCTTGTTTACTCGTCGCCAGTGCGCACAATTGGATCGCTGTAGCGTAGAATTCCATGTCCTCGTCGACTTCCCGTCCGCCAAACGCTCAGGCCAGCGGTAGCGGCGGTGTACCCACTCCGAAGGCGCCAACGAAGCCTCCAGTTGTCCAACCAGGAACAGGAAAGAACATCATCATAAACCCCAATCAAGTACGCCTTTCGTCCATTTACTCCACTTGTGGTATGGGTTCATGATGATTCAGGTTCTGGTAGCGACTGAATCCTGTACTTGAATGTATAAGGAATGTGGGGAAGGAGTTTGGAGACATCGTGGTGGACTTTCAGGTCGGGAAGACGACGGGAGTTCTGTTTCTCAGGTGAGTGTCCTTTCTTGAACTTGTCAGCGGAGTGGGCGTGAAGACTAAGTAAGCTGATGGACGGTTCATGACGTGCGGATAGCCTACGATATCATCGGTTGCATCCTGAGTATATCCACAAGCGGATAGAGGTGCTGGGCCATTCGTATAATTTACGAATATTACTACTACTGTGCGACATAGTGGGTTGTTCATTTCGGTTCATTTGTGATGATCCGCTCATGGAAGCTAGACGGAACACCAAGAACACATTCGAGAGCTCACCAAGGTACGTTCCAACCTCCCGTGTGGCATGCAGGTGTCGTGTCTCAATAACGTTTGTTCTCCAGATATGCATTATCAACAACATCACGATGATTGTGGCATGGAGGTCTGTACAAACCCTGCTGGATCAATCCGGGTGTTAGGCGGTTTTCGTCGTAACTGACCAACACGACTCGCACAGCCCAGATGAAGCAGGACAATATCTCGCCACGTTCAAACAATTCGAACACAGACCTCCTGACCTCATTCGCGAACGGGTTGAACGCGAACCGATGGCTATGTTACGAAATTCGCTCACTAGCATCAGCAAAGTGAACAAAACGGACGTTGAGACACTGCGGACTACGTTTGGTGTAGGTACTCTTTCCACTAATAATCTTACATGAATGCTAACTGCACAGATTGGCTTGCTGTGTTCTTCCAGAGCTTTGCAAATATATCTAGGGCAACAACAGACCAGCTCACCGACCTTCCTGGTTTTGGACCCAAGAAGATTGCACGCATGAAGGAAGCGTTTGACAAACCATTCCGAAACTCTGCCACCAGCGCGCTCGACTTCCCCTCGACTTCCTCTCAGCCTAAAGCTCAGAGTAGACTGCCGCCATCGGCAACAGACAGATCAGGTGCGAATAGCAGTATTACTGCTGAGAGTCACGATAAGGGAAAGGGCAAAGAGAAGGAGCCCAATAGTGGCTCCAGTCAACCACCACCTCGCCCGCCCGTCGTCACACCATCATCATTAGCTTCTAAAAATGGAAGTCAAGGCTCGTCTGGCGCACGTCCACGAGAACCATCGCCCGTATGGGATATCGAGCTCGACTTGAATTCTCCATCCCCTTCGCCACCCCTGCCTTTGCGTGTCTCAACCCCTATTCAGGGACCCATCCAAGCTCAAGGGAAGAAGAGAGCTGCGAGCCCTGTGTGGGACATAGAGTTGGACTTGAACGGAAGCGACATCGAGATGGATGAGGACGATGGAAGGGAGAAAAAGAGGAAGAAAGGATGAGCATGATTTAGAAGATCGAGGCAGACGGTCAACTCCAGGGTGTGTTCGGTTTCGAGCGGGTCAATTAGGTCGGTCGAAGGGTTGGACTGTTTGGGTATGTCATGCTTTGCGTCGAGACCCTACATAGAAGGCGGGCTAGCGCAATCATCAGACTCGTTTCATGCGCCTTCGTTCATACCATGGGCTTTCTGTCAAACGCACCTGTCGGTACTGCTTCCAGTGGATGCTGTGGAAGACTCACACAATGTCTACGCCTTGTTTCGCACTTTTCCCAAGGTTGCATAGGTGTATTTTGGACCTTGCGGCAACCTACCCGAGCGCCGAGGGCGGCTGTCATACTGTGACCGACCCGTCCGGCGCGTCCGGCGACGCCTGGAGGCACCCGGCGCCGCCTGGAGGAATCCGGCCACGCCTCCAGGCAATTCTTGTACCCTCCCCTTTGAAGGATGCCTCCAGCAGTTTTGTACACATTTTGTAAATACCCCCAAAAAATGTCATTTATTCGCATATGCTTCAATCTGCCTGGAGACGATCCGCCCACCAGTCGAGCCCTGCTTGGAGGCAATTTCGCACAAGTCACGCATTGCCTGGAGGTGTTCCCGAGCAAGTCACACCCTGCCTGGACGCAATTTCGAGCAAGTCGCTCATTGCCTGGAGGCAATTCCGAGCAAGTTGCCCATTGCCTGGAGCCTACCCTCATCAGCTCCATATTTGCTTGGAGGTCATTCTGCACACGTTGTGTTCTGCCCACGGGAGTTTCTGTTGGAGAATCCGCCATCTGCCTGGAGGCGACCCGTACTCGCTCTCTGCTCGCCTGGATGTACTTCCTCACATCTCGTGGATTACCTCCAGCAATTTCTGTCTGCACATCAGCTCATCGGGAGGCATCCTCACTCCTGTCAGTGTATAAAACGTAAATGTGTGACGTGATTTTGGCGAGATGACGGAGGTTGAATTTGGGAGTTCTGTCTATTTGACAAACATTTATAAGTATACAGGATGCTAGAAATCAATTTGTGAAGGAATCGGTCCATTTGCTCCAAAGTTATAGCATAAACGGTCAGGAAGATATTGCCACATTGAGGCTGGAGGGGTTCGGTACGCCAGAACTAGTGATATAATGATTTGATTGACTTGGTTTTTGCTGTCGTGGGTAGATTGACATCACTAACTGATTATGAAAGCCACACCCGAAACAAAAACTACGACTGTGGCCTTGATAGTGGTGCCGCGTCAAGGGGAGGAGGAGGAGAACGTCTACCCAGGGGGTACTGCAGTGGTTGAAATTGTTGGTGATGTTGACATTATGATTGGACAGTATAGTTTGACGTTTATGAAGACGATCTACGGTACAACATCAGTAAAAATGACTTCTGCATCAATTGTGGG